TGACTGTCAGCCTGTGTGACTCCCATCTCCCTTCTTTTGTCCCTCAGCAGCACTGGGATTAAGATACAGATCCTAGTCAGATCAACTCAGTCATATTCAGTTATGTGTTAATCCTGATTTAGAGTTTTCTTAAGAAACCAGGTTAGTTCAAGCATTTGTCCTAATATATTTGACAACTAGTGATAACTAGAGGTAATTACTGCAGTGGTAACTAGTCTGTTGTTTTTACTGTCAAAGATTTTAGGGTGGATCTCAGTTACCGATGGCCACAGTACATAGCTTTTACATAAGCAAGACCTAATCAGGCAAATTCTTAGATATAGTGATGTCTGCTGTCCTTGAGATGAATGATTTTTCCAGAAGTGAAGGATATGTAATCTAGGTGTAGACCATGTTGCATTAATTAAATTTATCATCTATTTAGAGGATATTTCTAAATGATTCTCTACTTACTGACTTCCCAGTCTAGTTTTCCCTAGGCTAGTACCCTTGACTAGTTCTTTGAAGCTTCTTCTTTTTTTTGTAGACCTTTTTCTTTTTCTCCATGACTTTTCTATAATCTTTTCTTGATTTTTTTTTTTTACTTTGTTCTCTGCTTTTCTTGGTGTTTCTTTTAGTCCATTAATTGTTTCCATTTCTGCCAGCTAAATAGTCTCTGTTTTTCTATAGACAAAATCAAAAGCACATAGAATTTCAGGATCTTAAGGAATCTTAGAGATGAATTAATCAAAATACCCTCTGGTACTGCAACCTATGTTCAACATCCTCACCAAGTGGTTGTTTAAATGGAGAATTTGAAACTCAAAAGAGATTAACAGTGACTTATTTGGATATGATAAGTGACAGAAATGAGATTTAAATTCAGGTTTTTTCCTTTTTTCTCATCTTGTAGGTAAATGTTTTAATAATTGAAAGATGGGGAGGGGGTCTTGTGAACACAGTGAAGGGGGGTAAGGAAGGAATTAGCAGGAGAGGCCAAGTTTCAAGAAGAATAACACTGGTTTGGATAGTTTTAGAAAAGATGTCAAAATATTGGGGTTTATGATAAGTTAGATAAAGATGAATTATAGGAATGAAGGATACACACACACACACACAAAGGAATGAAGGACATAGGATATTGGGAGTTGTTTAGAAAGGCATATTAAAATAGAGGGTTGAAGAGAATCTTGAGCAGCTTTTTTGTTTGTTGGTTTAATTGAATGAACTAGCATACTTCAGGTTTTCTGTTGAGAGATATTAAAATCATTTGAGCCACTGGGAAGAATCTTTTTACAGCATATAAGAATGTGATATCATCTACTTCCACCCCAACTTACAGAGAGTGGCTTAGATCCTCTTGGGTAATAGGCGCAATGGAGATTCTACACAACATAGATGTATGGCCCAAGGTAGCGGTCTCCTCACTCCACCTCTTTTAATTCTCTGATGCCCTGCCCATGTACATGTAGGGTTTGGTGGGGTACGACTGGCTGTCAAATCAGTAACAGAGTTTTATTTGGGTAGTTGGTAACATGTCTACGTTGAGATGACTCCATGGATGACTGAAACTCCATTTTGCTTGTTCTCCAGGAGCAGGAAATGGCTCCTACTCTTGGACATTTGAGCCTATCCTTGTTTTGGGAGTCTGTGCTTTCATAGACTAAAGACTTAAAGGTTGGAGAGTACCACTGAGCCCTGCAGAAGAGTGATAATAGGTGTGGGAACTCACAGAAAGAAAATATTAGGCAGTGTATAGGGAAATAGAGGCACAGCCACCCGGACTCTGTTTTTATAGCAGTCTCTCTTCTTGGGTATCTGAGTGCCTATGAAGGTTTTTAAGGTCTTGCTCGTTTATGTAGACCTAAATAAGGCAGGACCAGTGAAGGAAAAAATTTGAACCTTATAATTTTTAATCTTTTAATCTGGGAATAGTATTCCCACTAATAACATAAATTTGTTCTTTAACATTTATATATTTCTTTCTTTTAATTGAAGCATAGTTGACACAAGATGTTATGTTAGTTTCAGGTGTACAAGGTAGTGCTTGAACAACTCTATATGTTACACCATGCTTACCACAAGTGTAGCTACTATCTGTTACTGCATAATGCTATTACAATACCATTGACTATATTCCCTATGCTGTACTTGTATCCCTGTGACTTACTATAACTGAAATCCTGAACCTCCCATTCCCCTTCACCCATTTCGTCCGTCCCCCACCTCCTTCCCTTCTGGCAATACAGAATTCTCTCTCTTTCTGGGTCTGTTTCTGCTTTTTGTTTGTTCATTTGTTCTGCTTTCTAGATTCTACATATAAGTGAAATCATATAGTATTTGTCTTTCTCTGACTATTTCACTTAGCATAATATCCTCTAGGTACATCTACATTGTTGCAAATGGCAAGATCATATTCTTTTTTATGGCTGAGTAACATTCCTCTGTGTGTATATGTGTGTGTGTGTGTTTGTAAGAGATACATCTGTTGATGGACACTTGGGTTGTTTCCATATATTGGCTGTTGTAAATAATGCTGCAGTAAACATGGGGGTGCATATATCTTTTCAAATTAGTGTTTTCATTTTCTTTGGGAAAGTAAGTAACTAGTAATGGAATTACTGGATCATACGGTATTTCTATTTTTAATATTTCAAGGAACCTCCATACTGTTTTTCACACCATTTTCGATCCCCATCACCAGTGCACAAGGGTTCCTTTTTCTCTACATCCTCAACATTTGTTTTTTGTGTTTTTGATTCTAGCCATTCTGACAGGTGTAAGGTGATAATTCATTGTGGTTAACTTTTGAACAATTAACTTTGAAACATTTCAGAGAATTCCTTGCCTGTCACTCTTAGTTATGAGAACTAAGACTGAGTCTTTACTAGGGATTTCACATCTTCGGAGAGGTGGAGGCAAGATAGATAACGAAAACCTTTTTAAAAACAGAGACCAAATTTTTTTTTTTTTAAGATTTTATTTATTTATTTAACAGAGAGAGAGACAGCGAGAGCAGGAACACAAGCAGGGGGTGTGGGAGAGGGAGAAGCAGGCCTCCTGCCGAGCAGGGAGCCTGATGCGGGACTCGATCCCAGAACCCTGGGATCATGACCTGAGCTGAAGGCAGACGCTTAACGACTGAGCCACCCAGGTGCCCAAAACAGAGTCCAAATTTTGAAAGACCTGTACTCTAACAACTATAAAACATTGATGACAGAAATTGTGTTAAGACAGAAGAAGTGGAAAGACGTTGCATGCTCATGGATGGGAAAAACGCATATTGTTAAAATGTCTATACTACCCAAGGCAATCTACAGATTTAATGCAATGCCTATTAAAATACCAACATTTTTCACAGAACTAGAACAAACAATCCTAAAATTTGTATGGAACCACTGAAGACCTCGAATAGCCAAAGCAATATTGAAAAACAAATTGGAAGTATCACAATTCCAGTTTTCAAGTTATATTACAAAGCTGTAGTCATCAAAACAGTATGATACTGGCAAAAAAACAGATATAGATCAGTGGAATAGAACAGAAAACCCCAGAAATAAATCCATAACTATATGGTCAATTAATCTTTGACAAAGCAGGAAAGAATATCCAATGGAGAAAAAGCAGTCTTTTCAACAAATGGTGTTGGGAGAACTGGACAGCTACATGCAAAAGAATGAAACTGGACCACTTTCTTTAAAAATAAACTCAAAAATGGGTTTAAGACCTAAATGTGACACCTGAAATCATAAAAATACTTGAAGAGAGCACAAGCAGTAATCTCTCTGATATTGGCTGTAGCAGTGGTTTGTTGTTTTTGTTTGTTTGTTTGTTTTTTCTCTAATGTCTCCTGAGGCAAGAGCAATAAAAGCAAAAATAAACTATTGGGACTACATCAAAATCAAAAGCTTTTGCACAGTGAAGGAATCAGCCCACAAAATGAAAAGGCAACCTATGAATAGGAGAAGATCTTTGCAAATGACATATCTGATAAAGGGTTAGTATACAAATATAAAGAACTGATAGAACTCAACACCCAAAACACAACCCAGTTGAAAAATGATCAGAAGACATGAACAGACATTTTTCCAAAGAAAACATACAGATGGTCAACAGGCACATAAGAGGATGCTCAACATCACTCATCATCAGGGAAATGCAAATCAAAACTACAATGAGACACCACTGCACACCTGTCAGAATGACTAAAATCAAAAACACAAGAAACAAGTGTTGGTGAAGATGTGGAGGAAAAGGAACCCTCTTGGATTGTTGGTGGGAATGCAAACTGGTGCAGCCACTGTAGGAAACAGTATGGAGTTTCCTCAAAAAGTTAAAAATAGAACTACCCCGTAATTGAGTAGTTGCACTAGTGGGTATTTACCAAAAAATACGGAAACACCAATTCAAAGGGATACATGCACCCCTGTGTTTACTGCAGCATTATTTACAAGAGTCAGCCCAAGTGTCCATTGATAGATGAATGGGTAAAGAAGTGATATACATACACAATGGAATATTATTCAGGCATAGAAAAGAATGAAATCTTGCCATTTGCAACGAAATGGGTGGAACTAGAGAGTATTATGCTAAGTGAAGTCAGTCAGAGAAAGACAAATACCATATGATTTTGCTCATATGTAGAATTTAAGAAACAATAAAAATGAGCAAAGGGAAAAAAAAAGACAAACCAAGAAACAGACTCTTAACGATAGAGAACAAATTGATGGTTACCAGAGGGGAGATGGGTGGGGGAATGGGTGAAATAGGAGACCGAGATTAAGGAATGCACTTGTCATGATGAGCACTGGGTGATGTATGGAATTGCCCTATCATTATATTGTATACATGAAACTAATATAGCACTTGTATGTTAATGATATAGGATTTAAAATAAAAACTTAACAAAAACAGAGGCCAAATTTTAAGTATATCAAGAAACTTCATTCAGTAAATAGCTGACCTTTCATTCGATTTTTCTTTTTAATAACTTGTTTTTGTTGTATGTTTTTGCTCTAAAGTATTTCCATTAAACCTGGTACTGATGATTCATGGCCTACATCAGATGATGAAGACTTTAATTTTGATATCAAGGTAAAGTACTCTTGTGAAATTTGTTTTCCTGCTCTGAATTTAGTTTGTATATTATTTACTCTTAAAATTTAGCAGTGGCCTACCTATCATCATTTTATGTTTGTAATGGAAAGTTGGTCAGAACAAACCATTTTGTAGAAATATGACGAGTTGAATTTTTTTTTTTTTTTACTCTGGTAAATACTGAAGGTGGAGGCTGAAAAAGATGAACTGGAAAATACATAATGACAGGAAAATTATATTGGGAAAAGCTTTTCCATAATGGAGGAAATAAGATATTTGGTCAAGGATAAGGATTTTTACTGTGAGTTTTAAATTATCTTAACATGACTTTTCTTTCTTTCTTTCTTTCTCAATATGACGTTTATAATACTCATGCCTAAATGAAATCTTTAGTGGATTCAATTATTGCGGACATTTTTTCCCTTGGTAACATATAGTTTTACAAAATACTTTTTTCTCTATTTCTATCCTTTGTTGTACATTTAGACTAAAATAATATTAGAAATTGTGGAAATTCAGAAATGTAAATTCTCAAAATTTATATTGCAAAGGTATTCCACTGTGTTTTCAAAATAATTCCATTAGGAGTTTAGTTAAAACTTTATCTAAGTGAAGAATACATGTTTTGCCTAAAATAATAATCAGCTCTAGAAGTAGAGGCTCTTCGTACCCATATGGTAAAATGTCCAATTTCAGAAATCTTTTATATTATAGTTTTTAAAAATATCTACTCAATCTTTGTATCAGATTCTAAAATTTAATATTTCATTCTTATTTAAATATTCATTTTAAAGCCCCTGTATCATTATAAGCTACTGGATGTTAGGAAATGTAATTGTGCATCTCCTGGAACACCTAGAATAAAGTCTTGCTTGGAAGAAGCAATTTAGTATTTTTTGAATGTGAATAAATGAGCAGACAGATGGAATTCTGTATAATGGAATGTTATAAGTAATGTGCATAATTAAATATATGAATTTTTAAAAATATGGCTCAAATTTATATTCCTTTTTTTTTTTAAGGATTTATTTATTTGAGAGAGAGAGAATGAGAGAGAGAGAGCACATGAGAGGGGGGAGGGTCAGAGGGAGAAGCAGACCCCCCTGCAGAGCAGAGAGCCTGATGTGGGACTCGATCCCGTGACTCCAGGATCATGACCTGAGCCAAAGGCAGTCGCTTAACCAACTGAGCCACCCAGGTGCCCTATATTCCCTTTTTATGTTTAAGATTTATAAGTGCAAATGAATTATGTTGAGGAAATAAATAAATAAGAAAAAAGGTTACAGTTTATTTTTTAGTATCCTCTAATTGTGAGCTCAGAATTTTCTTTTTTCTTTTTTTTTAAAGATTTAATTAATTTATTTATTTGAGAGAGAGAGAGAGAAACAAACAGCATGAGAGGGGAGAGAGTCAGAGTGAGAAGCAGGCTCCCCGCAGAGCCAGGAGCACGATGTGGGACTCGATCCCAGGACTCTGGGATCATGACCCGAGCCAAAGGCAGATGCTTAACCGACTGAGCCACGAAGGCGCCCCATGAGCTCAGAATTTTAGATACAAATTCCTCAACTTTTTTCTTTAACCCCATCTGTGTCTCATTAGATATATCCTTTCAAGGTGTACATTTCTCCTTAGAATTCTCATTACCAATCCTTTCTCCAAGTGGAAAGTTGATGTGTTAGAAACATTTCTTTTTCTCTTTTTTTCTCTGTAGTAATAATTTATAGCTTTCAGGTACTGATAAGGTAAAGGTAAGTGGAAAAAATATTTTTCAGTATATGTAAGTATGATTATGGATATATTATAAACAGAAGTCTCTTAAATTTTTTCAATTACATATTATAAATATATACATTACATATATATTGTAAATATATACATTACATATATATTATAAATATATCTAAAACAGGCTTTCGTTCATAGTATATCCCTAATAACACTGACTTTTCTCACTCTACAATTATTTGTTTATAAATACTGTAGTAAAGAATTTAATTTTTTCACTATAAGGTAAATTGTTGGGGTACAGGTGCCCCTTCAGATCACTATGTTTGTATTCTTTGGATAAATACCTAGTAGTGCAATTGCTGGGTTGTAGGGTAGCTTTACTTTTAACTTTTTGAGGAAGAATTTATATAATAATCAGTTAGGGGTAAGGAAAATAACATTTTGGGACTAGCTATTAAATCTCTCATAATCCTCATCCCAGGAGAAAATATAGGCTTTGTAAATGGCAGAACTGAGATTTGAATCTCCATTTGAATGATTCCAAAACCTGTGTTCTCTGTGTAGTGGTGCTCATTTGATAATGGGGAATATTATAATTATTTTACCAAATGTGATACTTGTAATCCTTAAAACTATTAATTTTTTTCTAGACTGTCCCAAAACCAAACTTAAGAGCGCTAATGAATGCTTCTGAGCAATTCAAGAATGGTAAGCTATTTGAAGACGTGCTATTCACTGATTTTTGCCCATTCTTGTATTATTCAGTAATTCGAAATTACAGATATTTTCATGTTCTTTTTATTTTGTTTTTTACTAAGTGGGAACAAAATGTGGCCTTATAACACTAGGAGGTAGAACTTTATCTGAGCATGATAATTCTGATTATGAAGATGAAAATATAGTTGGACTTCTTTACAAACTACCATTCAAAGCCAATGACTTTTCTTGTCTTGCTTTTTCAAAACCTTCTGTCAAGTCGTTAGCAGGCCATGGTGTTACAAAGGTAAGTTGTTTTGTTTTAAACCTTTTTCCCTATTTTTTTTCACATACCATCCTCTTGATCCTTATAATGAAAAGAATCTTAGGAAAAAACGGAAGTCCTCAAGATCATAAGGGGAAATAATGTAATAACAACAGAGAGGTAAGTACCAGATTGAGATTTATAAAGGTTGGTGGGAGTAAACAATTCTTAGGTATGCCATTATGGAAGGAAAGAATTAGAAAGCAACTGGAAAGAACAGCTAGAGGGATGTGAAGATGAGGGAGGGGGTGGGGGGAAGAATTCATTTAAGAAGGGCAAGATGAATGTAAAGATTAAAGAGTTGAGAGAGATTATTATAAAAAGACAACAGCAGTAGTGAGGCTAAGGGAGAGCAGATACTCTATATTACAAAATATGGTAGAAATTATTTTAAGTGCAAAATAAGAAAACAAAGTCAAGTAATAAAAAAATGCTTAGACTCTTCTGAATGACTTACAGCTGACTTTTATGAAGAACTGGAAGAAAATTTTATCCTTCCATTTAAGTTTAATAAAGTGTGCTATCTTATATTTAATTTAGCAAAACCTGTGTTTATAGATAATGCAAAGTGAAATCTGTTTTAGGCCTTAATCAGATTTATTATGAATTTTGAATTTTTGGCCATTGTCTTTCTTGTGGTTTCTTTCTTTCTTTTTTTTAAGATTTTATATATTTATTTTTGTGAGAGAGAGTGAGAGTGCACGAGCAGGGGGAGGTGCAGAGGGAGAAGCAGACTCCCCACTGAGGAGGGAGCCTGATGTAGGACCCAATCCCAGAACCTTGGGATCATGACCTGAACTGAAGGCAGACACTTAACCAATTAAGCCACCCAGGTGCCCTTTCTTGTGGTTTCTGATTTAACTTCCTGTGTGGTAGAATCTTGGTAGGTTTTAGATCTTTTTGAGACTAAAGAGAGGAAATAAGTAAACATTTAGTCTTTTCATTAATTAAAACTGAAATTTCTGATTATGTAAGTGAGGTTCTTAATCTTTATCCAATAAATGAAATAAATTTTAAGCTGTAACACTCTTAAAGAAAAAATAGAAAATTTTGTTTCTGGATTGTGATTTATAATTTATTTTTAATTGTATCTGCATTTAATAGATACACAGACACACATCAAATGAATGAACTCACAATTTATAGTTTTTTTTCTAGTATGAACTGTTTGTCATTGTAGAATCATAAGGAAGGAAAGGTTGCCAACAGAGTATACAGAATTATTTCTGGAAGATGATTTTTACTTTTTCAAATATCTCCAATAGTAGATACATTTTATATTATTCTCAGGAAACTTTAGTATTCATCGTTGTTAATTTTTGTTTTAGATTTAAAAAATTTTAGTAATCTCTATACCCGACATGGGGTTTGAACTCACAACGCTGAGATTGAGAGTCACACACTCTTTCGACTGAGCCAGCCAGGCGCCCCCATAGTTGTTAAATTTAATATGTGAATTCTTTCATATCTGAAAATCAGAAATACTGGTGATTTGATTTTTTTTTTTTTGTCCCTTTTTTCTTTCCTCCTGTGAATATTGGGTCCTGCTTGATGATCATACATGTATTTGGAGACTTTAAAACCTTCAACTTGGATGATCATGATTATTAATTTTTTAATACTAGATTCTTTCCCCAGTCTTTTAACTACCATCCTATATTCATTGATACGAAATTAGAGCTATTAGTATGCTGTTCACAGTGGAATAAGAAAATCATGTGAATTTTAAAATAGGGTTTTATATTTTTCTCATACATCATAGTAGTACTATGATTTTAAGATGCCTCAAAATTCTATAATCCCATAAGTATTTCTCTTCTACATTTTAAATCTTTTAAAATTCATTTTTAGAAAAGTATTCTTAAACAAAATCTTGAATTGGTGTTTTGCAATTAAATCTTTTTATTAATCTTAAAAATGCTATTCATTACAGAAATTAATACTTGCCTATATATATTTTTTTTTTCTAAATATTTATTTCAGAGAGAGATACAGAGAGTCTGGGGGAGGGTCAGAGGGAGAGGAGAGGGAGAGAAGCAGACTCCCCACTGAGCATGGAGCCTGATTTGGGACTCAGTCTGACAAATCTGAGATCATGACCTGAGCCAAAATCAAGAGTCAGATGCTTAACCAGCTGAGCCACCCAGGTGCCCACTAACTTGCCTTTATTAATAAAAGTCTATCTTCTATCCTTGAAACTAATGTTGAAGTATATAAATGAAATATTGAATCCCATGGTTTCCCCCCCCGCTTTTATTTTTATTCTGAAAATTTCAGAGTTCTGTGTAGGTTTACATTATTTAATTATATCAGGTTAGTATATTTTATAGATATTTATGTTTTATTAACATCATGGCTTTTCCTGTCATTTTTTCCTACTCCAAATATATTTGTGTACAACTTTCTCCTTAAGTCTCCTGGGTGCTTCCAATTTGGTATGTCCCAGATTGAAGACATTGTTTCTGACCCATTCCTCTACCCTGACTTTTTATAATCTGCTTTGTCATTTGTTTTCCCCATCCTAGTATATTGTGCCACTGAAACACTGAAGCAGGAAAAATCCTGGACTGCAAACTTCCCTGAAATTACTACATCCAGGGGCACCTGGGTGGCTTACTTGGTTAAGCATCCGACTCTTGATTTTGGCTCAGGTCATGATCTCAGGGTCCTGGTATCAAACCCTGTTACAGGCTCCATACTGAGTAGGGTGTCTGCTTGAGGATTCTCTCTCTTCCTCTCCCTCTGCCCCTCCCCCTGCACGCACACACACTCTCTCTCTCAAAATAAGTAAATCTTTAAAAAAAAAAAAATCACCACGTCTCTACCTCTGAAACCAGTAATACATTATATGTTAATTAATTGAATTTAAATTAGAAAAAGGGACGCCTGGGAGGCTCAGTCGGTTAAGGGGCTGCCTTCAGCTCAGGTCATGATCCGGGGGTCCTGGGATTGAGTCCCAAGTTGGGCTCCTTGCTCAGCGGGAAGCCTGCTTCTCTCTCTGCCTGCCACTCGTCCTGCTTGTGCTTTCTCTGTCTCTGACAAATAAATAAAAAATCTTAAAAAAAAAAAAGTAAAAAACAAAAAAATCACCACATTCAGTATTTTGTCCCTGCTTACCATTTTTCATATCTTATTATCATAATTCACTCTCTCACGTATAGTTTTGAAATACTCCTCTGGTTTTGGTTCCTTTATGTTCATCTTTACATTGCTGTCAGACCTTTCTACAATATATTTCTGACGATGTAACTCCTCTGCTTATTTAGTGGATCCCCATTACATGAAGGAGAAAGTTCATATTCTATCCTGACACTTGCCTTTTTTGGTTCAGTCCTGATTTTCCAATTATCTCTCTCTATCCCATTCCCAAAAATTGTGTTCCAGTTTTGCCACATTCTGGAGCTGTCGTCACTTACTGCGTTATTTCATACTTCATCCTTTCGCTCATTCTACCTTTTCTAGAATGTCCTTCGCACGCTCCTTGTGCACCTTTCTGTCTTTCAATATACAGCCCTATCTGCAGCATTTCCTGAGCTTCCCATATGCAACTCTTTTCTCCTTTGTGCCTTCACTGTGCTTTATTCACTTCACCTGTAGAACTAGTAAATGATACTCTTCTGTTCTTAATTGTTTTGGTCCATCTCTACCCCTACTAGCATATAGGGCAGTCTCTGTCGTTTATATTTCCAGCTTCTCTCACGATAGTGCCTATGACTTGACAGGTACGGTATGTATTTGTCTTTCTGAGTGAGTGAGTGAGTGAACAAGTGAATTAATGTGATGTTTTCTGAAGTTGGGTTTTTGTTTTGTGTTGTTTTTATAGGAAGGAGAGGTGCAGCCGGCAACTGGAAAAAAGGACAATGGTATTAATATTACTGAAAGTGCTCCACAAGAGCAAACAGTTAATGACCATCTGACTTCTGCTGATAGAGCATACAAAAGTAATAGTAGTGGTAAGTTAGTAAACATCTGTGAATTTTTTTCTATGCTCAAATGCTAGTATAAAGAAATCTGAAAGTATGTAGATCCAGATATGTTATGCATTTCATTAAGATATGTTTCTTTTGCTGTCTTTCTTTTTAAGTATCCCGACTACTACCAACTTTTTCTTCCTGAAAATAATTCAACCCTCTGAAAATCTTTACTGCTATTACTTTTATTTTATTGAAATATTCATGAGTGGGGATAAGCTTGTATATATGTTTAAAATTCATAATAATACATGTTCTCATTAATGTATCTGTGACTGTATTTTATAGTTACGATGTCAGCATTGGGATTAGGAGAAGAGGAAGAAGGAGAATCACCTTGGGATTCTGAGGTACTGTTTTCTTCTTATTATTTTAAAATATAAGCATTGAATGATGTTAAAGCATAAAAGGGATGCTCAGACTTTACTCTGTCATCTCTGCATTTGCCCATAAAAACTATTTCCTTATACTTTTTACCTGTAATTGATAAAATAATTATGTGCTAAATATAATAATACAGCATAATACAGTTCTGCTAATTTGCAAGCTTAACTTAATGAAAGCTGTGTAGTATTATTGCAGAAAACTGAGGTTTAGGAGTGATAAGGAATTAGTTTGCATTTTGAAATTAAGTTATCTAAAAAACTAAAGAATTACTCCAGTCAAACCTATGGCCAGATGTGATTCTGTGGTGTATATGGATGTGCAAAATTCCTGATGAGATCTAGAAAGTTTGGATTATAGATTTTTACAACTTGGAACTTGAAAAGCTAACGTCTGGGACTTGAAAGTATTTTATATATATATATATATATTTTTTTTTAAGATTTTATTTATTTATTTGAGAGAGAGAGAGTGAGTGAGCAGGAGGGAGAGGGAGAGAGAATCTGAAGCAGACTCCCTCTGGGCGCAGAGCCCTACTGATACCAAGAGTTGGACACTCAACTGACTGAGCCATCCAGGGGCCCTGAAAGTATTATATTTGGATTGTCAAGTAGATTTACAAGGAGCATTGGGATTATAATAACAATTTGGTTTAGTGGTGTTTTATTTATTTATTTTTAAAAAGATTTTATTTATTTATTTGAGAGAGAAAGAGAGCATGAGCTGGGGGGGGTGCGGAGGGAGAGGGAGAAGCAGGCTCCCCACTGAGCACATGGGGCTAGATCCCAGAATCGACTGAGCCACCCAGGTGTCCCTGGTTTTGTGGTGTTTTAATAGGTAAAAGCCATTTGGGATCATTAAAATAGTATGCATTGAGTATCTTTGTGGCAGCCATACTTGTAGAAACAAGTATAAAGTAATGATGACCTATTCTAAGGTGACAGACTGTGGAAGGAGGTAAAAAGGGCCTGATCTCTTAGCACAGGCAGGTGCTTCAGAATGGTGCAGGCACCGTATTTGAAGTCAAAAGATATGCTTGCATCCTGGTTCTGTCACTTGGTAGCTGTGGGATGCCAGAAAAACTTGTTTAACCTGTTTGAATGTCAGTGACCTGATTCATAAAAATGGTACTAATACCTACCTCTCAGGTATGTGTAATGAACAAATGTGGTAACAAATGTGAAAACACTTTGTATACTGTAAAGGCTGCTATAGAAATATAGGACAAAAATGATCACAGCAGTATTTAGTGATTTATTAAATATTGAAGACACTTTTTTTTAAATGTGAAGATTTCTGAAGGACAGTAACATAAATGGCAGTAGTGTCCAGAAAAGAATGGAAAAGTTAGAACGGGCAGGTGGATTTCTAAGTTGGGGTATGTTACATTTCAGTGACATTGTATAGGTATACAGTTGACCCTTGAACAGGATGAGTTTGAATTGTGTGTCCACTTACACACAGACTATTTTTTTGATACAGTACAGTAGTGTTAATCTGTTTTCTCTTCCTTATGATTTTCTTAATAAACTTTTCTTTATATTGTAAGAATACAGTATATAATACATATAACACACAAAATGTGTTAATTGACTTTACATTATTGGTAAGGTCAGCATTAGGTTATAATTTTCTCTGACCTTCCATGCTCAGTTTACAGAGTCAATGGCCAAATGAGAATTAAGACGTAGATTAGATCTAGAGAGCATATACGAGGTCTTCTATTTAAATGTTTTGGTTTTTCATTTACATTGTTCCTATTTTTAAGTCTAATTGCTTTTAAAGTAGGAAGTTCAATAGGAGATTAGTAGTTAAGTTTTTGGGGAATCAAAAGTTATGTGTGGATTTTTGACTGCACGGCTGTCAACGCCCTTAACCTTTGCATTGTGTAAGGGTCGACAGTATGTGACTTGGTACTTGAGACCTTCTCAGTGAGGTGATTTTATTTATTTTTTAGAGAGAGAGAGAGAGAGCGTGTGAGAGGGTGGGGAGGGGCAGAAGAAGAGGGAGAGAGAGAATTCCAAGTAGGCTTCATGCTCAGCACGGAGCCCGACATGGGGCTTGATCTCATGACCCTGAGATCATGAACTGATCTGAAATCAAGAGTTGGACACTTAACTGATGCTGCCACGCAGGCACCCCCCTCAGTGAGATTATTTTAAATGTTTTGACCTTAAATACATTTCTGTTATTGAATATCAGCTATGTACCAGGCTGTATAAGTTGAGGGGTTAGGCTGTAGTGGTAGGAGCAGAAAAAATAAGGAAACAACAATCCATTGGTAAGTTACTATAAGTGCTTCATATAAAGAAAATAGAAATGTTAGGTTAGGGAGTTTTGGGGGAGTTTGTAATTAGGATGGGGATGAGAATGGGAGTGGAATTTTTTAGTCAGGAAAGATCTCTCTGAATGTGGCAAGAGCCGCCAAGTGGCAGATGAGAAGGACCAGTCGTGCGAAGGTCTTGGAGAAGGACATTCTAGACAGAGAGAACCATGGATCACATCTATTCATCATTTCACTCTTATGTCTTGGAATGACCAGGAAGCAGGAAGATCCACCCCATTGTCATAATCATTGTTATTGTGTGTAGAAAAGAAAATGTGCATACTAAGATAAGTGCCTGGTACATTTTAGGTAATTAATAAATAAATGTTCTTATTCTTCCCTTATGAAAGCTTACTATACTTTTTGAAGAGTTTCATACCTGTATCTAAAGTTTTTTGCTATTATTTAAATATAATTTCAAGGAAAGTTTTTCTTCCTACTTTGCCATTTCATTCAACCATTTCTCCTATCAATAAAAAGTTCAAGCCTTTGTTAATCTAAATGAAACAGCAGCTACCACAGTGTTCTGTTTATACTCAACATGATATACTCCAAGGTTTCTCATCATGTCAAGTATCTTACTTTAGCACTGAAAAAGTTTCTGCCATTAGGAACAGTTTAAATCCGTAGCAAATATACTTATTAAAGAATTTGTTTAACTACATATTTTTAATGTCCTTTTATTTTGGTGGGAAATGCAAAGGAGAGTTAGGTGTTTTGTTAGTTCCTGTTGAAATGTACATATAAATCAGTCTTTTGTCTATGAAAGTATTTACTCTGGACTTCCATGTTCAGTTTAGAGTCAGTGGGCAAATGTAGATTAAAAGCTACACTTAATCTAGAAAGCATATATGAGGTTTTTAGATGTTTTGGTTTTCAATACATGCTTTTCTTATTTGTAAGTCTGATTGCTGTTAAAGTAGGAAATTCAGATATTTTCTTAGAAAAAGATTAGGAAGTCTTTATGCAGCTCATTTTTGATGTTACTTTTAACAGTATTTCTGAGAGTCTTCTAAAGAAAGACGTTAAACGTTTATTTGGAGCTGCGGATCAGAAAGGACCACGTATATTAAATGAACAAGTAGAAGGTAAGAATTGTATTTTCTTAAAAAGTCACTTGATAGAATGTTAATTTAAAATGGGAATACTGATATGTTCTAATATCCAAAGAAAATCACCTATTAAATGCATAGAAAGGAAAAAGATGTGAAAAGGAGATCAATTGTATATCTTATCAGGGGTCAGCAACAGATTAAATTGAGAGTGCCACTGAAGGAGCTAAATTACTAGTTCCATTTCAAGATACTCTAAGACCTAAGGAACATCAGGAAATAAGAGGAAAAGAGGGAATGATGAGAAAGGCGGAGAGTACCGGGAGTAAATGAAGGACAAAGCAGCTCTTTATAGTGGAAGGTGGTAACATAAAATAATTCTTTTAAAAGAAAGAGCAGAGTATTTGAAATGCAGGAATAATATCAAGTGAGCTTCCAGTACCAACGTTTGTCAGAGTAGTATGCCAAAACTTTTCCACGCTTACGGATTTCCTCACTGTTGGGAAGACATTAAGGACTGGCGTAGCTGATTATGCAGAGCTATGTCCTAGTCAGCTATAAATGTATATGTGTTAATGTCATATAAAATGGTGGCACTTCATAAGATAGTATCATTTAGTGCAAAATAGGAGAATTGGAAGGAAGAAGAGAGCAGGGTCAGTTAGGGGGAGATCAAGGAAGCTTTAGCCCTGATAAAAAGTCCATTAGAAAGTTTATGACTTTTTTTTAAATTTTATTTATTTATTTGACACAGAGAGAGACAGCGAGAGAGGGAACACAAGCAGGGGGAGTGAGAGAGGGAGAAGCAGGCTTCCCGCCAAACAGGGATCCCAGTGTGGGGCTCGATCCCAGGACCCTGAGACCATGACCTGAGCTGAAGGCCAGACGCTTAACAACTGAGCCACCCAGGCACCCCGAAAGTTTATGACTTTTAATACATTTTCAGTTTTGGAGAATCGATAGTGACGAACTTGAGGCTTTTTCTAGAAGGTTCAGTTAAGGTAAAGGAATGTGGCAACAGACTCAGTGTGGGCCAGAATTTCTCAAATTTTAGTGAATCATCTGAGACCTTGTTAAAAATGCACATTGTGAGCAGCAGGTCTGGGATTCTGCATTCTTTCTTCTCAGGTGATGTTAGTGTTGGTGGTCCTTGGGTCATGTGCTCCATAGCAAGGATGTAGACTTCTCTTTAGAGAAATCTGGAAGGGCCATTGGATAGTTCAAGACATAATAGGATCAAGGAAAAGCATTATTTTCTTTTTATTGCTGAGCATGTTTTTAGCTAGAGGGGAGCAAGGAGATGCAGAAATAGAGGTTATAGATGTAAGATACTACTGCTAAACAAAGAGGAAAGAAGTGGTGGAGATAATCCGTAATAAAAGGGATGTAAAAGCAGAACAATCAAGACCATAGATCCAGAAAGTACTTTTTTTAAAGATTGATTTATTTATTTTAGGGAGAGAGAGCGAGCGAGCGAGCGACCAGGGCGAGGGGCAACGGGAGAGGGAGAGAATATCTTTAAGCAGACTCCCTGCTGAGCCTGGAGCCCGATGCGGGGCTCAATCCCAGGACCCCGATATCATGACCTGAGCCGAAATCAAGAGCCAGACACCCAACCGACTGTGCCACCCAGGCGCCCCCAGAAATTACTTTTGAAGAAGGTGGATAGTGAAGGGAAGGAGGGAAGAAAGAAAGGCATGTTAGCTAGGAAATTTTGGAGTTGATGAGGAAACTCGAGAGAATTCACTTTAGATGGCTTGAGTGTATTTGCACTAAAACAGATTAAATTATAGCTGCTCCGTAAAGAATACTGAAAGCAGATGGAGTGCTAAACTTGGGGTAAAACAGCCACTCATTTATCCTCCTCAGATCTATGGGACATCAAAGATCTCTCTTCTATTGGTATTCATTATTCCAATGAGATTAATTTGAATATGGAAGCTTTGGCTGTTTTTGTTTTTTTTTAAGATAGCTAATTTTTTTATATGATAGCTGTTTCAGAAAAACCGTTTAAAGACTAACATGATCTACCAAATCAAACTAATTTTGGAAACCAAAGCGATTATAGGGTTCATTCCCTAAATGCTACAATTGTTATTATCAGTAAGTATGACACTGAATACATATATTTGCATTTTTTTTCAATATTTATGCTGGGTTCATATTTCTCTCTTGTCGCTGTCCGAACCCACCTTCCTATCTCCAGAAACAGAACACCAAAACCTAATGTAATCATTTTCAGAGCCAAGCATGAGGATTCAGCTTAGTACTAACTGCATGAATGTTTAGTTGCCTTTCACGTTTACATATAATTAACTGTATGTCCATTTTGCCTTTTAGATTCTCCGAAAAGATATCCTTACGTGAAGGTAAAACTTTTATATTTTTATTTTGAATTTTTAACTACCGATTGTATGAAAGGTCCATCATGTCTTAATCATATTGTTTCAATACCCATTCAGCCTACCGTTGAAGTGAAAGATTCTGTTCCTAAGAAAACAGTAGAAGTCAAGGAAAAACAAACATCCAACTCAGGTAAATTTTACAATGCAAATTTAACAGTGGAAAGAAGTAGACTAAAATATTTGAAATGCTCACAGTCTTCTTATTCTGAATTTTTTTTTTTTTTTGGTGGCAAATTTAACTGAAGGATTTGACCTAAGCAAGGTAGATACCACTGTTGATACCCATGTTTGAACAAAAGATATTTATAAACATAAGAAAAAGAGATTTTTAAAATGTAAGCTTTAGCTGTAGTTTCCACTTTTATGTTTTGAAATCCTGAAGTTCCCAGTTTGGAATCCCATTACTTCCTTGGGATTCCCAGAAGTTAATTATTAGACTCTCAGATTTTTCCAGTGTTCACAATGTTTATTTCAATTCTGACCTTTCCCTACAGTAAAGCTTCACTTGCTAACATGTCAATTGTGTTTTAAGTTTATTTCTTCTCAGTGTTATTATGTTGATCATCTTAAGCCAAACAGATGTTCTGAGTAGCGGACTCTGTGTGTGTGTGTGTGTGTGTGTGTATGGTGTCTTTGATTATTAAAACTGCGGGAAGTAATTAGTTCTATCCTAATATTTGGTGGACACAGTCTTTTAAAACCATAATTCTGAAACTTATTGGCCTTAGGGTCCTTTTATGCTATTTAAAAATTATTGGGAATTCCAAAGAACTTCTGTTTAAGTGTTGATATTTACCATATTAGAAATTAAAACAAGCATTTAAAATACAAGCATACACGATCATACATTCTTAGCCGTTAGAGCTCTGATCCACTAATCATGCGAGTTGTGATACTATCACATATCCTATCTTTAGAAAACTTTACTATACACTTAATAAGAGAATGAGAGTGAAAATATCAAATAACATTTAGCATTATTGAATGGATGGATCTTGGAACTCCGGGGATTCTCAGATGACATGGGAGAACTGTTTTAAACCATGTACAGATTTCATGGATACAAAATGATAGAGGGGCCCTTGTGGTGAGATGGGCATTAAGGTTTCATTTCTGCATTTCTTGCCTTTTTCTTTCCCTTGTCTTAAGAGGTTTAAATCAGACAATCTTGTTTAAAAAAAAAAAAAAAGGAAAGTATTTTTGTTATATATTCATTTTCTGTTTCATGGCACTGTAGTTTTTGGATCTAGCGTGGACTGAGACTGACTGTGTTTTTACATGGAAATGATTAGATCACCCGAGGCTTTCATTTCTCACATAAATTTATGATGTTTGTCCAAGGCTTAAAAATTTCTGAAGATAGGGATGCCTGGGTGGCTCAGTCCATTGAGCGTCTGCCTGTGGCTCAGGTCATGATCCCAGGATCCTGGGATTGAGTTCCACATTTGGCTCCTCGCTCAGTGAGGAACCTGCTTCTCCCTCTGCCCCTGCTGCTCCCCCTGCTTGTGCGCTCTCTCTGTCTCTTCTTCCTCTAACCAAAGGAACATCTGAATAAGAATTATGAGAAAGTAATTTCCTTTGGGCTAGTTTTTAGCATTCACTTGAGAGTAGGTAGCAGGATTATATTTAGAACTTTGGGACCAGTGGGGAATACTAGGTAGAGATCTAAAGATTGCTTACTCAAAACATAGTTTCTTAGCTTTATTTTGTAGCTCTAAATTCACAAGTATTGGTCAAGCTATATTCATTGTAACTAAAGAAAGCACCTTCCCAAATCAAATATTAAAATATTTCCTATGTTCTGTATGACTTTTGTTTTAGAGTTGGCTTTCCCAGCAGTAATGGGAATAGTTGAGAATTAACTATATAGTATCATCTTCTCAGCTATGTATGCATAGTCCATCTCCTTGTTTTATTATTTTTATTTTATCTCTTTAGAGAGAGAGAGATGGGGGAGAGAGGGAGAGGGAGAGAGAGAATCCCAAGCAGGCTTCACGCTCAGCACAGGGTCTGATGGGGGGGCTCAGTTTCATGACCCTGAGATCATGACCTGATTCTAAATCAAAAGTTGGACACTTAACTCACTGAGCCACCCAGGTGCCTCTTTATTATTATTATTGTTATTTAAAATTTTTATTGATTTGAGAGAGAGGGAAATTGAGAGAACGAGTGGGAGGAGTGGCAGAGGGAGAAGCAGACTCCCAGCTGAGGAGGGAGCCCGATGCGGGACTTGATCCCAGGACCGTGGGATCATGACCTGAGCTGAAGGCAGCCGTTTAACTGACTGAGCCACCAGGCACCTCCCTTTGTTATTTTTAATAAATAAATGGAATATGGGTTTTAAGGAGCACTATATTATTTAAAAATAATATATGGAAAGTCAATTTTAATTCTACTAAGATACTCTGTCTATTGATTAACCACATCTAATGTGTCTCTACTTAATGTACCAGTTCATTCCATGCCTTTTATCAGTCATTGATCAGGTCTGTACTAATAAATCATACAATATTTTTTTCACCCCTGTAGTTTTATGTTCTTTCTTTCCTTGTAGAATTAACACTGTATTTTCAAAAGATTTTCAATTATCTCCTAGAGTAATGCGTACAGGCAATAAATCCAAAGTTATTTACCTATATAAGTGACTTGTTTGCTGTTACTTCTTCATGAGCTTGGTAGATCCAAGAAGTAGGACTTTTAAAATACCTACAGGCTCCTGTAACAAAGGAAGATCTGAAACACAAATTGTAAATACAAGCAACTTAAAACAGTTCATGTAGATTGTTTTTCTTCTCACTTGATGCCTCTTATAAAGTAATGAGCAAAGTTAGTCTCTAGGGACCTAAGATTGTGTGTTTATTCATTTAATACAGATTTATACTGTACTGTGCCCTGATCATTTTATAGCCTCAATATTTCTGGAACCATTCTGTCAGTGCAGGTGTACTTCATCTTTATTTTGCCTTACTGCCTTCTAATTCATCTCCCATCTTTTATTACAGTGCCCCTCAAATTCATCCCTCTCCACACATTTAGAGTGATCTGTCTCAAATGTAAATATGACTATGAACCACTGTTGAAAATATATTTGTGTCCAGGTATCTTAAAATTACATATAAAGCTTTCATAATCTTGACTTCTTATTAGATCCCTGTATTTTAGACAAATATTTACCCTGTTGTGTGCTTCTCTCCCTTTTAGACAAATATTTACCCTGTTGTGTGCTTCTCTCCCTTGTCTTACTACAGCCTTGCATACTCTCCCCGTTTTCCTCCCTCTAACCCCTTTGAATCTGGCTGACCTCACTGTTTTCAGTTTCAGTTCAGGCATTATCTCCAGAAAAACCATTCCTGACACCTTTTATCTACATGCTTCTTTAAACCTGGGTGCTTAGCACTTACGGGAAACTCTGTAAATAATTACTGAGTAAAATAAAGACAGTTTACACAGAGATGACTTAAGGGATTGCCCCATACAGGGGCACCTGGTTGGCTCAGTCAGTTGAGTGTCCAACTCTTGATTTCGGCTCCGGTCATGACCTCAGAGTTGTGAGATCGAGCCCCGCGTGGGGCTCAGTGCTGGGCTTGGAGCCCCGTCAAGATTCCCTCTCTCTCTATCTGCTCCTCCCCCTCTCCAAAAAGAGAGGGAGAGTGAGAGAGATTGTCCCATACAGTCCAGGAGCAAAATAAGAGTTATATAAAGAAGTAATTTACAGTTCAGGTGGTGAAGATACACTAGAAAAATCGGTAAAGTACTAAGGTAGCCCTGAAGAAAGAGACACCTATTCATCTGGGGAAGAAGAGCCATAATCAAGGGTGACTTTACATAGCAGTCTGTGTCCTAAAAGATGTGAGGAAATTTATCAAGTAGTAGAGGAAAACATTTCAGGCATGTTTACACTCATCAGGGACATACACCCATAGGAAGGTTGTACACTAATAAAGGCATAAAAAATACTAATAATTTTGGAAGCCATGAATAATGTTGTAGTTGAAGCTTTGGGTGTTAAGAGGTGCTGTTACAAGGTAAAGAACAGTCTGTTGTGATTTTATATGTTTCTGCTGCATTATAAAATTTTGTTTCTGATTGTTTTGTTCATTGATGTTAGGTGGATGAACTTGTGAATGAATCTTTGAGATGTTTGTATGTCTTTAACCTGGTGACATTTAGTATTTCCCAAATGGTTTGTTGAAGTTTTCTATAATTAAAAGTATTTCTTAAAGTAAATATTCAGCTAAAGATTAAGTTTAAACTATCAATAGATAAAATGTTATTTTCTATTTTTAAGAAGGTTATAGCTTTTATCTAACCATTCTAAGTAGTCCATTTTAACTAAATATATAGATTTGCCAGCAGAATGAATTAGAAATGACATCAGAGGAAGAGCAAAAAAGACTTGATGAAAGTGAAAATAACCACCTACAGGTATGTAAAAAGTTAAATTTAAATTTCCAATTTTATATTGTTTTTCCTGCTTTAATAATGTAACATAGTTCAAATGAAATGATCTTTTGAATGGACATATTGAAGTCAATAGATTATAATTTAAAATTTAGTTTTTATAAAATCTTACAAGTTACAAAACTTAAAATATTGTTTGAATTTCTGTAACTTATAGCTAAACTTCATCCTTGGAATTGAGATAAAAAAAATTCCTGAATATTGTTTGCTTCTTCACATTTTTATAACTTTTTATGCGATAAAGAAGGTAACATCAAATATTGAATCATATGTTTAAGCAGTTGAAATTATGAGCAGTATAATAATGATGACTAGTGACTTAGATTCGTGTAGAAGGAGTAATTATTCTCAGTGGTTCAAAATGTGCAGTTCTGTATTGCCAGTCACTGATGCCAAGATAAAAGATTTATTTTGCCTTGTGATCTCTGTGTAGTTGACTTCAGAGAGCGGGGTCATAAAATCAGCACAATTGCCTATTGTAGAATCACACCTTCCAGGGTGGGACCTTTGTAGTTGGGCAATAAACAATAACTTTTTCAGTTATTTCATTTCCGCATAGGAAATCAGTAAGTATTATTAACATTTTTCTTATCCACTCTCAGTGGACATTATATTAGAGCTGTATATAAGCAGATAATTATAGTGATATATAACACTATCATAGTATATAATTTGACTTAAGATTTAGGAATTTTCTTTCTGATTGATGTTAATTGATTTTGATTCCTAATAATTTAAAATTTGCCTATTCACTAGTTATTAATCTTTAAAGAAAACCCTCAAATGCACTGAAGGGGCTCACTATTTAAGGTATGGTGAGATAAAATGCTTTTAAGTTTGTAACATTAAAAATAATCTGATTCATTTTTTGGTAGATGTAACATGTAATGAATTGTTTATTTCAAAAAAAAACTAACAAAGTTAAGTTTATGGATTTATGTTTTTCTTTTGTCTTAAGCCAGGGCAAGTTATTTGTCACTTCTTTGTTACAATACAGTGACTTGGGAGCAGCTTAACATAGATTAAGAAATTTAACAGTTAAATTTTAATTTTCTAATTTTTCTTTGTCCATACTTGATTACTTAAGGATAAAGGTACTTCACAAACATGTATCCTGGCAGAAAAGACACGTGAAAATCAAACCCAGCAAATTAACGTTCCACTTTTGCATCTGCAAAAAAAGTCTCGAGAACCAGAAATGAATAAGAAATGTGATAGAAAGGATAATATATCTGTATATTCAGAACATCCTTCTGTGCAAAAGCGTGAGGAAATCTCGATCAAACAAGGCAAATTAGTGTGGAAAAATAATCTAAAACACATCACCAGTGAGTTAAAGCGGACGTTTGGTGAAACTTGTGAAAAACACAAAATTGCTCCTTATCCTAAGGAAGAGTCACCACGTGGTAACTTTAAAGAAGGAGCAAACTTAATGGAAATACCTTCTAACTTGACAAATGATAGACTTGATTGTGAGAAAAAGGATATATTTGCAGTGCCTGTCCCTCTAGTAGTTCAGGCATTTCCTGAACAAAAAAAGTCTAGTCTCACATATGCTTGCCAGGCATCTTCTGATTTTTCTTTAAGTGAAAATAAATCAGACTGTGAAAATGATAACAAACCAGACACTGAGCATGTTTTTAACAAAAATAAGAGTTTTAAAAGTGATACAGAGGGCGCCTGGGTGGCTCAGTTGGTTAGGCGACTGCCTTCGGCTCGGGTCATGATCCTGGAGTCCCGGGATCGAGTCCCGCATCGGGCTCCCTGCTTGGCAGGAGTCTGCTTCTCCCTCTGACCCTCCTCCCTCTCATGCTCTCTGTCTCTCATTCTCTCTCTCGCAAATAAATAAAATCTTAAAAAATAAATAAATAAATAAAATTGCCCACAGATCTAAATTTAAAAAAAAAAAAAAAAAGTGATACAGAAACTAAAAAAGTAAGGAACCCACTCGCTACGTTTGAAGTGAAAGAAGACCAAGAGTTTGACGTGCAAATGGCAAAAAGTATGAACCAAAATAGCACTAATTCTAAATTAGACATTGGACGTATACCTCAGTCTAGTGATTCAGAAAGCCGTTTCGACAAAAGGTTTTCCCGCTCCAATGAGATGAGACAAATGGCTCAAATAAAAAGGCACCATAGTTCTGCCGTTACAAACATTTACAAGAAAACAAAAGTCTTGTTCCAGAAGCCATTCTGTGCAGTTAATAACAGTACTAATAACTATAGAAGTATGGAACCCGAATTAGAAAATGTGAGTTCTTCTCCACCATGTAGTTACAGAACATCAGAAGTATGTCTAAAAGAAGAATTACAGCAAGATGTTCAAAAGTTTAAGAACGAGATAGGCATGTTACAGATAGACATCCGGGATTTGGAAAAAAAGAAAGTTCAACTTCAAAAAGAGGTAGAGGTTCACTTTGCTGCTGCTCTTTTGTTTTTTCTCTTTATCAATTATCTGAGTCATTCTGATTCTCCACTTAGGAAAAAAGTTCGTGTATAACATGGGGTTGTCTAAATACGTAATTGTGTTCGGAAATAGATTATTTCTGCTGTCTAAATGATAGGAGTGCAGGAAAACATTCTTATGATTGGTTTTCCTTAAGTTTCTCTGTAAGTCTCCCAAGTGGCATATGAACTGGGAAACTAATTTAGCTATGCACCCTGTGACCTCATGAACCAGAGTAACCGTAAAGAAAATCCCTTAAAAAATGCAATTATCGGGGCACCTGGGTGGCTCAGTCGCTAGGCATCTGCCTTCGGCTCAGGTCATGATCCCAGGGTCCTAAGATCGAGCCCCGCATCAGGCTCCCTGCTCAGCGGGAAGCCTGCTTCTCCCTCTCCCACTCCCCCTGCTTGTGTTCCCTCTCTCGCTGTGTCTCTCTCTGTCAAATAAATAAAATCTTGAAAAAAAAAAACTTTAAAAAATGCAATTATCTTGGCACATCTGGGTGGCACAGTTGAGCATCCGACTCTTGGTTTTGGCTTGGGTTGTGATCTCAGGTTCATGAGAGTGAGCCCCACGTTGGGCTCTGTGCTCAGCGTGGAGTGTGCTTTAATTTCTCTCTCCTTCTCCCTCTGCCCTTCCTGCTCATGCTCTCTCTCTCTCTCTAAAATAAATAAATCTTTAAAAAAGATACATAATAATCTCTAGTGTTTTGTTTTGTTTTTTAAGATTTATTTATTTATTTATTTATTTGAGAGAGAGCACGTGTGTGCACGAGCATGAGCCAGGGGAGAGGCAGAGGGAGAGAGAAAGGGAGAAGCAGACTCTCTGCTGAGCAGGGAGCCTGACGTGGGGCTCCATCCCAGGCCCCTGGGATCATGACCTGAGCTGAAGGCAGACGCTTAACGCTGAGCCATCCAGGTGCCCCATCTCTAGGGTTTTTATTTTTATCTATTGGCTTAAATATAAATTGCATTTCCATAAACAATAAAATGGGAAAGAAGCAATGACTATGAGAAAGGATATAAACAAGTATTTCAGCTAAACCTATTTATTGTTTCAGTATGTGCAATCTTTTCTGCTTTGTACTCACTCTTGGAACTTAGAATTCCAACAGGACCACTTTGAGATATTTTTAATAACAAATATTTGTATTAATCACTTTTTTCCTCCACATGTTTTTTAAGCAGACTCTTTTTTTAAGATTTATTTATTTACTTAGTGAGCATGAGCAAGGGGAGAGACAAAGGGGGAGAGAGAGAGAGAGAGAGGGAGAGAAGTAGACTCCCCACTGAGCATGGAGCCTGATGCGGGGCTCAATCCCACAACCCTGAGATCATGAGCTGAGTCAAAATCAAGAGTCAGAGGCCCAACTGACTGAGCCACCCAGGCGCCCCCCTCCACTTTTTTTTTTTTGTCACCATTCTCTCATGTTTCTGTTGAGTCAAACGTTCATATTATGTTTAATAAAGTATGGTACATTTTGACATGTATGGTTTTTATAATGTAGGTAGCATAAACCTTCAGAAACCTTCAGTATTTAACTCGAAGGGAGAAAACGGACGTTTGAGGTGAATTGAGTTTTAAAAATAGACAAAAATCTAGAGATATCCTCCTTCAAAAGAAAAAGTAGCTAAGCACCTTGTCCCCAATTAAGATATTAAATTACTGTGCCAGTGTCATACTTTTAATGTATCTGATTAATTTAATGAATTTGTTTGATAACTTAGCTGATTCAGCATTAAAGAATTGTATCATCTCATTTGGTGCCATAAGATGCTAGGTAATGCCACTTTAGGAACTTTGGACAAATCATTTAACTTTTTTTGGTTTCACTCCCATTTATCAGTGGAAAATGGGATTAAAGTTGATAATTACTTTTATACCCTCTAGCTATAAAAGTTTATGATAACCATGAATGTGGAATTTGGGGAGCATTACTCATTTCCCAAAATTCTACACTAACATCAGTTTCACTCTGTTCTTTTTGTGTTGTGGTGAACTTTGGTTCATATATTTTAACAAACACTGCCACTTTTTTGATAACCCTAGGATCCAAATGAAAAAAGAATTGTAAAAGGCAGTTGGGGAAAAAATAGCTCAGTGCAGGTAGAGGAAAACTCTTTGTTCCTGGAGCACCACAATGTCACATCCTTTAAATCTGGCTGTTTTTGCAAAATCCAGGTGGTAACGACAGACGAGGACAAATTTTATGTCTTTGTCTTTTTATTTCTTTGTATCTGCTGGTCAGATGGGGTGGGGTGGGAATGTTAGGTAGCAAAGCGTGGATATGAATACAAAATTAAGAAAGCCCTTTTTCAAATTTTGGAAAATTTTGCTGTTTTAATTAATTATTTTTTAAAGATTTTATTTATTTGTCAGAGACAGCGAGAGAGAGAGAACACAAGCAGGAGGAGCGGCAGGCAGAGGGAGAAGCAGGCTTCCCACTGAGCAAGGAGCCTGATGCGGGGCTCGATCCCAGGACCCTGGATGAGACCCGAGCCGAAGGCAGACGCTTAACCAACTGAGCCACCCATGCGTCCCAATTCTGCTGTTTTTATTCAAACGGAAATGAAGCAGAACTTATAAAAGTTGCAATTATTTATAATGATAAAGTTAAACAAAATATTTTTATTGATTAAAATTACGACAAACTAAGAGTCAAATGATATAATTAATGAAAAAAAGTTCTGGGATGACTGGGTGGCTCAGTCCTTAAGAGTCTGCCTTCGGCTCAGGTCTGATCCCAGGGTCCTGGGATCAGGTCCCGCATCAGGCTCCCTGCTCAGCGGGGAGCCTGCTTCTCCCTCTGTCTGTACCTCCCTCCCCCTGCTTGTGCGCTCTCTCTGATAAATAAATAAATAAAACCTTTAAGAAATTTATAATTAATGAAAAAAAGTTCTTTTTAATGAATAATGTGGTAACAATTATCCTTAGTATCACATTTCCATTAAAGATTAATGAAGAAAAGAGGAGACACCAAAGTAATGAGACGGCAGTATTAGAAAACACATATGCTGTCGCTGCTGCTGCTGCTGGACTCATTCAACAAAGAGAGAGTGGAAAAACTGAAAACCACCTCTTTCCTGTTGGGAAAAAGGAAGATTCTGATGGGTAAGCCTATGGCCATATTGAAATAGTAGGTAATTATTATTTGCCTATAAAACCAATTCTAGTTGGAGCTAACATTCATGATTAACAAGTTTTATATTTTTAGTAAGGCTAGTCCATCCTGGGTGCGAATCAGAAAAATGCAAATAACGAGATACCATTTTTTGCAGTCCTAGTGATAAATATTTTATTAAAAAAATAATAACCGGGGCGCCTGGGTGGCTCAGATGGTTAAGCGTCTGCCTTCGGCTCGGGTCATGATCCCAGGGTCCTGGGATCGAGCCCCGCATCGGGCTCCCTGCTCCTTGGGAGCCTGCTTCTCCCTCTGCCTCTCTCTCTCTCTCTGTCTCTCATGAATAAATAAATAAAATCTTAAAAAAATAATAATAATAATAATAACCAAAGGTAGCAAATGGGAGGAAAAAGCCATTCCTGTACACTGTGGTTAGATGCACGTGGTAACTCCTTTCTGAAGGGTGAGTTAGCAGTGTGTTTCAAAAACTTTAAATATGCTGTCCCTCTTTTAAGTTTATTTTTTAATTTTTTTTAAAGATTTTACTTATTTATTTGACAGAGAGAGACACAGCGAGAGAGGGAACACAAGCAGGGGGCGTGGGAGAGGGAGAAGCAGGCTTCCCGCGGAGCAGGGAGCCCGATGCGGGGCTCGATCCCAGCACCCTGGGATTATGACCTGAGCTGAATGCAGACGCTTAATGACAGAGTCACACAGGCACCCCATATGCTGTCCCTTTATTCCAATGCTTCATTGCCAGGACTAGATCCTATAGGAAAACATGACTTGTGTAAACACACACACACGCACGAACACATTCTAAGGACATTTATTGTGCATTATTGTATATATAAAATATGACAGATATGTTAAGGATATTTATTATAGCATTCTCTTATCAAAAAGTTGGAGATAGTCTAAGTAGCCGTCAATAAGGAAGTAAGTTGTCACCCCTATAAGACAATGTAACATGCGACCATTTGAAAAAATGAGTTTAGGTCTACAGTGTACTGATTGTTTAACAAAGTATATTTAAGGTGTTCGGTTTGATGTCATGTCTTATGCAAATTTTAGAATGCTTTTAATATCTGCTGAGTTGCAAAAGGAAGTTACCTGCTACACTGGCACTCTATCTTATTACCAACAAAATTGCTAGCTATTAGGTTTTTGGTTTTGGTTCCGTTGAGCTTGAGTGTTCAAATGTTGGACCCTCAAATTGATCTGAATATTACCAAGAGATTTCGTATGTCAACTTGTCCCATATTCTATATAAACATTTGATTTGATGATCCTTGTGCTATAAACCAAGAGGTTCCTAATGCAGTGAATCTTCTTTTGAAGGTACCTTGCATGCATGCTATTAGCCTTCCTTTTTAAAGAGAATATATTTCTATATGCACCACACCAAATTTTTCAACAGTGACTTCATTTTATATAATTTACGAAAATTCATTTTACAAAATAGGAATATTTTCTGCTTTCCAAACCCCTTATACTTCTCTTATAGAATTTTATTTTTTTTAACTTTTTAAATTAAATTTAATTTTTTAAAAAGATTTCATTTATTTATTTGACAGAGAGAGAGAGACAGCGAGAGAGGGAACACAAGCAGGGGGAGTGGGAGAGGGAGAAGCAGGCTTCCCACCGAGCAGGGAGCCCGATGGTGGGGTTCGATCCCAGAACCCTGAGACCATGACCTGAGCTGAAGGCAGATGCTTAACAACTGAGCTACCCAGGCGCCCCTCGTATAGAATTTTAATATGACTAATTATTTTGGATATATCCTGGAGTTAGATGATTTTTATCAAGCATGAAATATTGCTGTTGAAACTTAATAGTTTTTCTATGGTCTTTCTAAGCATGAGGAAAAGTGATAATCAGGTTATATAATATTATATATATATTATATATCTAGAAAATTTTTAAGGAGTCTTTTGGTTTTATAGTCTTGTGAATTATTTAATGCCTTGGTGTGCCTTTTTTTTTTTTTTTAAGATTTTATTTATATTAGAGAGAGAGAGTGCGTGGTGGGGGAGAGGGACAAGCGGAGTTGGCACTGAGAGCAGAGCCCCATGCCGGGCTCGATCCCACAACCCTGAGATCATGACCTGAGCCAAAATCAAGAGGTTTAACTGATTGAGCCATCCAGGTGCCCCCTTAGTCTGGCAGTTTTTTAAAAAAAACATTTAGTGCTACATGTATGTAATTTGAAAAACTATATTACAAAATATATTACAGAAATACTACATCATCCTTGTGTAAGGATTGAACTAAACAAGAAAGTTAAATCATCTATGATCATTCCTCTTAGCTATGAAATCCTTAAAAGAACCATGTACACTCACTGATCCTGATTTACCTCCTATTCATTTTTGAATTCTCTCTAGTAATTTTCACTCCCACTACTCCAGAATGGATTTTTCAAAGGTTACCACTGATTTTCACTTAAATAAATCTAGATATAATTTCTTAGATCTCATTTTATTTGACCTATCAGCAATATTTGACCCAATGGAGAACTCTCTTCACCAAAATTCTGTCTTCATTTAGCTTTCAGGGTATCACTCACTCACCTGGTTTTCCCCCTGCCTTTCTAGTCTGTACATCTCAGCCTGATTTGCTTCTTTCTCCTCATCCCCCACCTCTTACTTACATATTGACATCTTCCAGGAATCAGTCCCTGATTTTCTTTCTCTTGACTTTTACTATCTTGTATATTCTAATGATCTTCAGGTTTATATCTCCAGCCCAAATCTCTCTGCATAAGTCCAGACCTACATATCAAACTGCCTATTTGATAGCTCTTTGGGATAGCTATTGGGTATTACAAACTTAACATGTCCAAAATCGAACTACTGATATTCTTTCTTATACCTGCCCTTCTTGTCTTTCCTAATTGAGTTAATGACAGTTCTTCCAGTTGCTCTGCCAGAAAACTTGGTATCATCTTTGACTCGTGTCTTTTTCTTTTTCATACATGTCACATCTAATCTGTCAGCAGATCTTGTCAGATCTTCCTTCAGAATATATCCAGAACCCAAACACATCTTCCATGACCAAGCCACTATCATCTGTTGTGTGTATAAGTGTAATAATTAACTAATTGGTCTTCTTGTTTGTTCTTTTGTCTTTTCTCTGTTTCCATTAATTCTAAACACAGTGGATCTATTAAAACGTAAGTCAGATTATGTCTTCCTCTGCTCAAAACCTAATTGCCTCCTATTTCACTCAGAGTACATGCCAAAGTTCTTTCTAACACCTACAAGGCCTTGTATGATCTGTTCATCTTGGTCTCTCCCTATCCCTTACTGCCTCACTCCTATTTTCTGTCCCTTTCACGCTGTCCAGCCACACTGAATTTCTCACTTTTTTTTTTCCCCCTCACTATAAAGACTTCGAGCATCCCTCTGTACTTGCTGTTGACTCTATCTGGAGTGCTTTTCCCTCCAATACCCTCCTGTCTTGCTAGCTCCTTGCTCCTTCCTTTTTTTTTCCCCCTTCAATTTTTTGCTTAAAAGTTACTTTCTTAGCAAGGCCTTTCTTGGTTATCCTGATTACCTCTTTCCCTACAGCACATCAAAATTTGATTTCTCTGCTTTAGTTTTTCTCCTCTAGTACTATCTTGCCTGTGTAGTTTATTGTTATTGTGTTTACTTCACTCATGAGTAGGATTTTTATCTGTTCATTGCCATGTCCTCAGTGCCTAGAAAACGTTCTAGCATATATAGTTCTATTCAACAAATGTTTATTGAGTGAATGGAGTTTAACCTGCATGTATTGTTTTTTAACATAATACTAACTCTCGCTTAAACAAAAAGAAAGTTTGATATGGGTCCATTCTGACAATTTAATCTGTCAGTTGTATGCATTTTTTTTATTTTGGGGGGGCCCAATATTGTGGTTACTTGCTATTTATTCTTTTACTGGTATTTAGGTTAGTTTTAATTATGGTAAAATGGATCAGAGGAATAGCAAACTTCATTTATATTTTATTAAGGAAAATGAAATATGGTGGTAAATTATAGGACTTTAAAAATACTTGCCAAAGGATTATGAGCCCTCAATATCTGAAGTAAAAAGATGAAGTTGGAATTTATTGCCTACTAGTAAGATAGACCTATGCTGGTCACTTACTGTCTTTTCTGACAGAGCAGTCTGCTATTCTTATATAGGGTTTTGGGAAGAGTAGAGTTGAAGGTTTGGGGGACTTTCAGAGAATTAAGTGGTTTGTCATCATCTGAAACACCATGGTAATTTGGGTGAGACTGTTGTTGATTAGTTGGCACATGAGGCACGTGTATGGAATGGTTTTGTCTCCTATTGGCTTTCTTTTAGAAGGGAGGAGCTGACACTGCTTGGTGGGTGAGTGAGGCCAGTGGGCATTGATCAGTCGCACACATTTAAAACTGGTTGTCGTGGCTTCTTGTTCCCATGGCTTCATATTTGGGTTCCGCCCCCCAAGTTTGAGGTGACTTTAACTAGATGTTTTCTATTTAAAAGTTGCTTCTATCAACTGTGTTCAAAAAGAAAGCTATTTCATATTCTGTAATTATAGATTTATTTTTGAGATTTGGGTTAAGAAGAACTGTTTAATAATTGTCCTCAGGAAGATCCTTCTTTTTTGGATGTTAAATTTTAACTAGAAGAGTTATCTGTTTAACAGTTTTAATACAATAATTGCTGGCTCTGTTTTTGTTTTCAGTGCTCTTAGGGGCTCATGTTCAATTCCTAAATTAATAATCTCCTGTGGGAAATTTCAGTCTTTTGTAAATTTATGTAGCTATAGGCTGCTCATATTCTCTTGCATACATTTAGTCCATGAAAAAGTAATTATAATTTTCTGTTGGTAAATCTAGCTTTGTATATTAGGATTAAATACTAGGCTTAAAGTATGCAAAAGTTACCAAACCATTTTCTTTAAAAAAATTAATTTTTTTTAAATTTATTTGTAAGAGAGAGATAGAGAGCGAGAATGAGCTCACAAGCAGGAGGGAGGGGCAGAGGGAGACGTAGAAGCTCAGTGGGGAGCCTGAGGCAGGGCTAGATCCCAGGACCTGGAGATTATGACCTGAGCCGAATGCAGACACTTAACCGACTGAGCCAACCAGGCACCCCCAAATCATTTTATTTTCAAACAAAATTAACCAGGTTATTGCTATTTTTGAGTGATATATATAGTGACATATGAATATTTTTGAATTTTCTCCAGATTTATTGAGGTATAATTGACATAACTGTGTAAGTCTAAGGTATACCTATATTAATTTAATACACTTTTATATAGTAAAATGGTAATAGTGTTAACTCCATCATCTCACATAATTATCATTTCTTTTTTAGCAACTCTCTTAGCGACTTTCAAATATATAATACAGTATTGTTAACTGTAATCACCATTCTGTACATTAGACCCTCAGAACTTACTACTCTTGTAACAGGAAGTTTGTATCCTTTGGCCAATATCTACCCATTTCCCACAGCCTCCTACCCCTGGCAAGCACCATGATGTAAATTTGTTTTTTTTTTTTAAGTTTCTACATGTAAGTCAGATCATACAGTATTTGTCTTTTTGTGTGAGTTATTTCATTTAGCATAATTCCCTCAAGGTTCCTTTATGTTGTTGCAAATGGCAAGGTTTCCCTCTTTTTTGTGGCTAAAATATTCCGTTGTAAATATATACCACATGTTTTAAACCCATGGATCCATTGATGGACACTCAGGTTGCTTCCCTGTCTTGGCTATTGTAAATAATGCTGCAGTAAACAGAGGTGCAGATACCTCTTCGAGATAATGATTTCATTTCCATCAGAAATGTTCCCAGAAATGGGATTACTGCATCATATGATAGTTCTATTTTTAGTTTTTTGAGGAACCTCCACAGTGTTTTGCATAGTGGCTGTACCAATTTACAGTCCCATAACGGTGTACAAGGATTCCCTTTTCTGTACCTCTTTGCCAGTGGTATCTCTTGTCTTTTTGATGAAAGCCATTTAACAGGTGTGAGGTGATAGATATATCATTGTGGTTTTGATTTGCGTTTCCCTGATGAATAGTGATGTTGAGCCCCTTTTTTGGTACCGTTGGCCATTTGAGTATCTTCTGAGGAGAGCTGTCTATTAAGGTGCTTTGCTGAGTTTTTATTTGAATTATTTGTTTTTTGCTGTTGAATTGTGTGATCTCCTTACATATTTTAGATATTAACCTTTTTTCAGATATGTGGTTTGCAGATATTTTCTTCCATTCTGTAGGTTGCCTTTTCATTATGTTACTTGTTTCTTTTTTGTTTTTTAGATTTTATTTAAATTCAAGTTAGTTAACCTATATTGTTTTATTAGTTTCAGGGCTGGACTTCAGTGATTCATCACTTGCATGTAATACCCAATGCTCATCGCAAGTGCCCTCCCTGATGCCCATCACCCAGTTACAGCATCTTCCCACCCACCTCCCCTCCAGCAGCCCTCAGTTTGTTTCCTATAGTTTAGAGTCTCTTATGCTTTGCCTCCCTCTCTGTTTTTATCTTATTTTTCCTTTCCTTCCCCTATACTTGACGTAAATGGAACTAGAGTGTTGCTTGTTTCTTTTGCTGTGGAGAAATATTGTTCCATTGTTTTTGCTTTTGTTGCTTGTACTTTGGATGTCATATCCAAAATCATTGCCAAGATCAATGTCAGGGAGTGTTTTCCCTGTTTTCTTGTAGGAGTTTTATGGCTTAAGGTTGTCCATTTAAGTCTTTAATCCAGTTTGGGTTAATTTTTGTGAGTGATGTAAGTTAGGGGTCCAGTTTCATTCTTTTGCATGTGAATGAATATCCAGTTTTCTCAGCATCATTTATTGAAGAGATTATCTTTTCTTCTTTAAGTGTTCTTGACTATATGCATGGGTTTATTTTTGGGTTCTTGATTCTGTTTCATTGGTCTTTGTGTTTGTTTTGATGCAAGTTCCATATATTGTTTTGGTGACTATAGCTTTGTAACAGTTTGAAAGCAGGAAGTGTGATGCTTCCACCTTTGTTGTTCTTTCTCAGGACTGCTTTGGCGGTTTGGGGTCTTTTTTGTTCCATACAAATTTAAGGATTGTTTTTCCTATTTCTGTGAGAAATGTCACTGGAAAATTGCATTGAATCTGTAGATGGTTTTGAATAATGTGGATATGTAATATTAATTTTTCCAATCCATAAACAATGAGATATCTTCCTATTTGTGTCTCTGCTCTTTCTTTTATCGAAGACTTTTAGTTTTTAGTGTACATATCTTTCACCTCCATGATTGGATAATTTGAAAGTTTTAAAATTTGAAAATTTTAAATTCGCAGATTTTTTTTTTTGATCCATTTTAGTGTCCGTGATTTCTATTGCTTTTTTGCATTTCATTCAGTCTATTATTCAGCTCCGGAATTTTTGTTTAATTCTTTTTTACTATTTCCAGCTCTTTTTCAAAAAAAGATTTATTTATTTGTTTGAGAGAGAGAGAGAGAAAGAGAGCAAGTCAGGGGAGGGACAGAGAGAGGGCGAGAGAATCTCAAGCAGACCCGGAGGTCGATCCCACGACCCTGAGATCATGACCTGAGCCGAAATCATGAGTCAGATAGTTAACTGACTGAGCGAACCAGGTGCCCTTCCAATGCTTTATTAAACTTCTCGTTTTATTCATATAGTGTTTTTCTCATTTTATTGAGTTGGCTTTTTTTTTTTTAAGATTTTATTTATTTACTTTAGAGAGAGCGTGTGTGTGAGTGGGGGGAATAGCAGAGGGAGAGGGACAAGCAGACTCTGCACTGAGCGTAAGCAGGATGCATAGCTGGATCTCATGACCTGAGAGAAAATCAAGAGTCAGACGCTTAACTGACTGAGCCACCCAGGCACCCCTGAACTGGCTTTTTGTGTTTTCTTGTAGCTCATTAAGTTTCCTTAAAACTGCTCTTTTGAATTCTTTTTTGGATAAATTACAGATCTCCATGTGTTTGAGGTCAATTACTGGAAGATTTGGTGTCATATATCCTTGACTTTTTATATTCTTTGAAGTTTGGCATTGCTGTCTTTGCTTTTGAAGTAGCCTTTAATGACTACCTTTCCAATGTGTCCAAACCTGATTTTTTTTTGCTCTGGTGGTGTGCTGGAACTTTTCTGCAGGAAATCTGGTTTTCCAAAAAGTCTCTCTCATCCATGGGTGATTATCTAAGACAGTGTTTTCCAGGGGCTCCCAGATGTGGCTGAGAGGAAGGGGCTTGAACCAGTTTATGGGCTACTGCTGGGTCCACAGATGGACATGTAGTGAGTGTGCCCGTTAGCCGATGCATGGGTAGGCAAGACTTTTTCTAGGTCCCTTGGTGTATGGTCCTTGATTCCACAGCTCCTACAAAGAGATCCATAGCAGTTTTGTCCCCACAAATGACATTGTATTATAATTGTATATTTACCTGTCTTTGTAGCAAGGGATGTGTATTTCCTTATATATGGTTGGATTTCATAACTGTTTTGTGAATTAATAAATGTTCATTGAGATGGGTAACAGAATTTTACAAAAAAATTGTTTTTATTCTTTACCAGTAAAATTATTAGAAAACATTGGCTTTTTAATGGATATTTTAACTGGATTTTTTAAAGTAGTAATCCTGGTTTGCATATGAAGGAAGTAAGGAGAGATGAAAATGAAAAATGGACATCAGAAGTATCTGTGTTTACACCAGGGCTTGAGAAGGCGGATTCCCTACCTTCTCATCCACCACAAGTGAATGATGACAGCACTTCAAGTGAAATGGATCAGGATGAAGTAAGGTAAAATCTATAAATTATTTCCCTCTGAAGGAAGTTTAGCAGTGATTACTTTTTATGGAAATAAAACGCTGTCATGTAGGTACAGGCTACGGCAAGAAATACTTAAGTATATCAGATATACTGCTTGAAAGGTTCAGATGAGGACAAGTGACTTTGACAAGGAGCGCTTTCAATAGTCACCATGGAAGCTGGACTGTAATGAAAAAGTATAAACAACTGCTTAGAGAATTTTTACAGGGAAAGGTAATAGAGAAATGGATGATAATTGAAAAAGAATGTGGAATTCAAGGGAATTTTCTTTCTTTTTTATTTTTAAGATGGCAGCTTTTAGAGTACATTTGTATGCTGCTGGAAATGATCCAATAGAGATAGACATGGTTATTTAATTTTGTTTGCCTTTCCAAATATTAGAAAGCTTATTGATTGTATTACATTATCTTTTTTTTTTTTTTGAAGATTTTTTATTTTTTATTTGACAGAGAGAGAGTACAAGCAGGGGAGCGGCAGGCAGAGGCAGAGGGAGAGGGAGAAGCAGGCTCCCTGCCTAGCAGGGAGCCTGATGTGGGGCTCGATCCCAGGATCCCAGGATCATGACCTGAGGCGGACGCAGACGCCTAACGACTAAGCCACCCAGGCGCCCCTATTTTAAGATTTTTTTATTTGCTTGACACAGAGAGAATGCACAAGCAGGGGGAGTGGCAGGCAGAGGGAGAGGGAGAAGCAGGCTCCCCGCCGAGCAGGGAGCCTGATGTGGGACTCAATCCCAGGACTCCGGGACCATGACTTGAGCTGAAGGGAGATGCTTAATGACTGAGCCACCTAGGCTCCCCTGTATTACATTATCTTTTAAAGATTACAGTAATTGTCCTTAGTACTCCTAGTCATGTAGTTTTGTGGCAAGAGGTTGTTTTTTTGGTTTTGGGGGGGTTTTTTTGGATTTTATTTATTTGACAGACGGAGACATAGTGAGAGCGGAAACACAAGCAGGGGGAGTGGGAGAGAGAAAAGCAGACTCCGGCTGAACAGGGAGCCCGATGTGGGGTTGATCCCAGCACCCTGGGACCATGACCTGAGCCGAAGGCAGATGCTTAACGACTGAGCCACCCAGGTCCCTGTGGCAAGAAGTTGTTGATTCAGAATTGGTTCCCCAGTGGAGTATTCTCATATGATTGAATGTGCAGAGAGTATCATTCATAGACTTAAAAGTATATAAATGATAGTAAATATACAAACTCTTAGGCCATTCTGAGTAGAACTAATCATTCCTTGATGATTTTATTTTTTATTTTTATTTTTTTTTATTTTTAAAGATTTTATTTATTTGAGAGAGAGAAACACAGCGAGAGAGGGAACACAAGCAGAGGGAGGGGGAGAGGGAGAAGCAGGCTTCCCGCCGAGCAGAGAGCCCGATGCGGGGCTCGATCCCAGGACCCTGGGACCATGACCTGAGCCGAAGGCAGACGCGTAACGACTGAGCCACCCAAGTGCCCCCTTGATGATTTTAGATATTCAGTGCATTTGACAGAATCATGAATAGCTATGGTTTTGTTAGGGAATTTGAAGTATCTGGTTGCATTAAGTTAATATTTGTTTCGATTCTGGGGAAAGGGGAAAGACTTTATTTATAATTGAAAAATAAACGGGCGCCTGGGTGGCTCAGATGGTTAAGCATCTGCCTTCGGCTCAGGTCATGATCCCAGGGTCCTGGGATCGAGTCCTGCATCGGGCTCCCTGCTAGGCAGGGAGCCTGCTTCTCCCTCTGCCTCTCTCTCTCTCTGTCTCTTATGAATAAATAAATAAAATCTTAAATAAAATAAAAATAAAAAAAAATAAACTATTAGTCTATCATAGATTATTACTTTTAGTTTATAAAGTTCTAAATTACAAAAGCCATGGTTCCTATACCAACAGTGTCATTGACACATATTGTGTGCTCAGTAAGTATATATTTGTGAATAAACAGTTGAATAAATAGATGAATGCCATTGATGAACTTCTTCAGAAGAAGCAGATCTTTAGTTTATTGAAAGTAGATTTTCAGGGGCCCCTGGGTGGCTCAGTTGGTTAAGCGACTGCCTTCGGCTCAGGTCATGATCCTGAAGTCCCGGGATCGAGTCCTGCATTGGGCTCCCTGCTCGGCGGGGAGTCTGCTTCTCCCTCTGACCTTTCTCCCTCTTATGTGCTCTCTCTCTCTCTCACTCTCTCAAATAAATGAATAAATAAAATCTTTAAAAAAAAAAAGTAGATTTTCAATATTGCCTAGGTATGAAGTCATTTTATTTAAAAAAAATACGTCTAAGATTCATATATTACTATTTAAAATTATACCTAGAAATGGAATAATAGTAGATTCATTTGCTGTCATATTACTTGGAAACACTTAAATATTACCTTCACCACATACTGTAAAACACACGTTTTGAAGGCACATATCCTGGATTTGAATTCTGGGTCCACTCCTGCCCAGCTGTATGGGCTTGGGGAAGTTACTTAATTCTGTGCCTCATTTTCTTCCTGTGTAAAATGCCTAATATAATTACCTATGTTTATAAGATTGTTGTGAGGCTTAAAATACTTTTAAGATGTGTAAGGTGTTCATGATAATGCATAGTAGTTGTACAGTAAATCCTCAAAACACTAGTATCATGATTATTAAAAAAGGGTTTCTTTCATATAAGAACCTAACTTGCACTTTCCCAATAGTTTTTAGAGCCAATAAAAGCTTGTTTTTATTGAAAATGACAACAAAAAATGTGGTCTATTTCTTCGTATCAAATAATGCAAGTAACATTATGCTTTTCCTTTGCTTTATGTCCATTTGATCTAAATTTAATGCTTAGTATTATTAATAATAATGTTTAGATATGATTTAGATATTTTTTGTATTTTAAGTATTTAATACTTGCCTGAAAAGAATTGGTTTTTTTTAGACCTGCAAAGGAAACGGCTCATGAAAAGAAAGAGGTAAAAAAATATGTGTAATTGTATTTCATTTATTTTTTAATTTTCACTTTATTATATTACTTTGATAAATAATATTTATTAGAAATATTATTCCATGGTAAAAAATTACTTTAGGAAGGGTATAGTGAAAAAATAGAAAATCTTCCTTTGTTGTATAGACATTTATTGTGAAAAAGTTTTTCAGAAGTACTAATTATTGATAAAAGTCGTTTTGATAAAAATCAGTTCTTTTAAAAAGTACCTATGTTTTTGCTCCTATAAAAAGATGGGTATTTATCATCTCTCTACACTTAGTATATTTTATGAATATTTGGGGGACATTTTGAAATAGTATTTTTTATTTGTAGGTCAAAAAGCAAATTAATTTTATGGATGACCTTGACTTAACTGAGTCATCTGGAACAGCTTCAGAGGATTCCAAGTTGCCTTGCTATAAGTATATGAGTTGCAAGTCGCTAATTGTACAAGTTGGCCAGGATCGTAAAGGTAGGACATTGTATAAGTAGAAAGCCTTTGTATGTATATTACTGTAGTAATATGTGCCCATCTTGTATAGTGCTGTACCACACAACACTCATGAGCTACTCATCTCAGAAATATGTTTTATATGAGAATAGAGAACTGTTGAATACTCTCAGCCAAAGGGCTATAGTTTCCACTCTATGTTTTGTCATGGGAATGGCACACCTGATGTGTTGTTAACTCCGCTTCTCTTCTGTGCCTTCACCCAAGGTCAGGTTACCATTATTTTTCTCCTAGAATACTGAAATAGCCTCAGGACTGTTTTCCCTGTCATTCCACCTCCCAGAATCTTGGTCTACACTGCAACCATAGTTATCATAATCTTTAAAAATTCATGTTTCATCACGTTACTCCCTTGCTTAAAGCTTAGCTATTACTTCTCATTGCTCTAAGGTGAAAGACCACAGTACTCTAGCTTCATCTTGTATTGTTTCATATCCTTCTTCTTCTTTTTTTTTTATTTTAAAGATTTTATTTATTTGACAGAGAGAGACACAGCGAGAGAGGGAACACAAGCAGGGAGAGTGAGAGAGGGAGAAGCAGGCTCCCCGCTGAGCAGGAAGCCCGATGCCGGGCTCGATCCCAGGACTCTGGGATCATGACCTGAGCCGAAGGCAGATGCTTAATGACTGAGCCACCCAGCAGGCGCCCATGTTTCATATCCTTCTTTCCATCTGTGTCTCAGCCACAGTTTTAGTTGTTTTTTCCTATAATAGAGCTTTTTTTTCCCCCAACAGCTTTAGTTAGGTAAACTGCACATATATGAAGTGTATAATTTGATAGTTTTGACATATGTATATGCATATGAAACCATAACCGTAATTCAGGCAGTCAACATATCTATCACCCGTAAGTCTCATGTCTCTATATTCCCTTGTTACGAAACTGCCAAATTGTTTTCTAAAGTAGTTGTACCATTTTCCATTCCCACCAGCAGTGTATGAAAGTTCTAGTTTCTCCCTGTATATTCATGAACACTTAGTATTGTCAGTTTTTTAAATCTTAGCCATTCTGATGGGTATGTAATATATATATCATTATGGTTTTAATATACATTTCCCTAATAACTGTTAATGTTGAGCATATTTTCATGTGCTTATTTGCCATCTGTATATCTGCTTTGAACTATCCAAATCCTTTGTCATTTTAAAAATTAGGTTGTTTTCAGATTTGTTGAGTTTTAAGAATTCTTTGTATAATCTAGATATAGTTCCTTTATCACCTATATATATTTTTTAAGATTTTATTTATTAATTTGACGGGGAGAGAGACAGCTAGAGAGGGAACACAAGCAGGGGTAGTGGGTGAGGGAGAAGCAGACTCTCCACTGAGCAGGAAACTCGATGTGGGGTTCGATCCCAGGACCCCAGGATAATGACCTGAGCCAAAGGCAGACACTAAACAACTGAGCCACCCAGGCGCCCCTCACCTATATTTTTTCGTAAAGATTTTCTCCCAATCTGTGACTTTTCATTGTCTCAACAGTGTCTTTTGAAGAGCGGTTTTTCTTTTTGATGAAATCCAGTTTATCCATTTGTTCTTCTATGGATTTTTGCTTTCGGTGTTCCTATATAAGAAATCTTTGCCTAGCACAACGTCAGAGGTTTTCTCTCATACTTTCTTTTAGAAGTTCCGTAGTTTAAAAACGAAGTTTTATAGTTTTAGGTCTTACCTTTAGATCTGTGATCCATGTGATCCATGTCATCCATTTTGTATTCTTTTTTTTAATGATTTTATTTATTTATTTGACAGCGAGAGAGAGAGCATGAGCAGGGGGAACAGCAGGCTGAGGGAGAGGGAGAAGCAGGCTCCCCACTGAGCAGAGAGCTGGACATGGGGCTCGATCCCAGGACCCTGGGATCATGACCTGAGCCAAGGCAGACACTCAACCGAGACACCAAGGCGCCCCCATTTTGTATTCTTTTTTTTGCTTATGATGCAAGGTATGGATCCAGGTTCATGCTTTTTGCATATGGATATCCAGTTGTTCCAGCACCATTTGTTGAAAAGGCTATATTTTCTCCACTTCATGCCATTGTGTCTTTGTCAGGATCAGTTGACCATATGTGTGTGGGTTTGTTTTTTTTTTTTAAGATTTTATTTATTTATTTGAGAGAGAGAGAATGAGAGCACATGAGAGGGGGGAGGGTCAGAGGGAGAAGCAGACTCCCTGCCGAGCAGGGAACCCGACGCGGGACTCGATCCAGGGACTCCAGAATCATGACCTGAGCCGAAGGCAGTTGCTTAAGCAACTGAGCCACCCAGGCGCCCTCCAAATCATAATTTTAATGACCATATAGAAGTCCACCATATGGAATCCTCATTATTTAACAAATTGAATTTTGGTTATTTTCCATTTTTCTATACTTTAATTAATCCTGTAAGGAATGTCTTTTATATAAATCTGTTTCTAAAATTCTGGTTACTTACTTGGAATAAATTCTTCAATATCGTATTGTTTGCTTAAAGTATAAAAATTTTTAAAGAAGGTCTTTGATCCTATTTTTAAATTGTTCTCTGGGAAGTTTATATTAATTTATATGCCCATCAACAGAGTATGAAATGTCCATTTATCTCAAGATAGGAAAAATTTTAAAAATTTATTCAGTTTTAAACATATGCAGCGATTAAAAAGTAAAATGGAAAATGATTACTGCTAAGTTTTTTCAAAATCTCTCTTATAAAATTAATCCAAAAGTCTATGCTGTAAGCACATATAACTCTTTATTGTTTACTTAATTAATATGGATCCTGTGTTCTAAAAGGGGTTTTCAAATGATTTATAAAATGGATAATAGGGGCGCCTGGGTGGCTCAGTTGGTTAAGGGTCTGCCTTCGGCTCAGGTCATGATCCCAGGGTCCTGGGATCGAGCCCCATCTCCAGATCTCTGCTCGGCGGGGAGCCTACTTCTCCCTCTCCCTCTGCCTGCTGCTCCCTCTGCTTGTGCTCTCTCTCCCTGTCAAATAAATAAATAAAATATTTAAAAATGTAAAATGAATAATCAACAAGGTAAATTGAGAATATTGCAGAAGAAGAAACATAAAATGTATAGGGCAACAGATACTAGACTCCACAACCTAGTCCTGGATCACAGTAATCTGCAGGTGTATGTTGTGTAAATGACATCTGCAGATGCTGTCTTAATACTGCAAATTATTTTTGGAGGTACCTGTGACGTTTTGTGAAGTAGAAATTTACTTCTATAGGGAATTTATAAACTTTTTTATAAAGAGCAACTTCTCTTTTTAATTAGTAACTAAATTATCTGTTCTAATGGAGGAGTAATTATGACTGTATGGGAAAAACAATAATTTTAATTCTAACTTTCTTGAATAATTTCAAAATTCCTTTCTCTACAATATCTACCAGAGTTAGTACTAAAACTTATTACTAAGCTGCATAATGCTTTCTCATTGCTTCTTTTCAACTATATATATCTTTTGGAAGAGATTGAAGTGAGAAAGTAAACATGAGCCTGAGAAAGGAAAAAAATTGAGAACATAGAAATTTCATTTGGCTAATAAACCAACATATGTGGAACCAGATCATAAAATGAACTTTTTATTACTTACAAATCATTTAAAAATAAGCACATTTATTTGCAGATTTACCTTCAAACAAGAAGAAGAAAAAAGAAGAAATGCTGATAAATTATATGAAAAAATGGAGCAATTCAGAGAAAAAGAAGAGCAGTATAATGAAGTTGAAATGAAACAAGTTGAATTCATCTTGCAACAGTAGGTGCGAATTGAGGACTGTGAGAAATAATTTGGATCAGGTAAATCTTTGATAAAAATTGCATATTTCCATCAGTATTATTTATAATATACCTTTGATTTTATGTATATTATTTAGGTATAAAATAGATAAAAAATTTAATTTTATCCTAATAGGAAGTATAATATTTTTAGCTAAAATTATTAACTTATTGGAATTCTTGGCTTCTCATATATGCTCTCTATATATTTTCTGAATGAAGAGATAGAGGGTAAAGTGAGATAAATGTGAATGTTGGCTTTTTTTTTTTTTAAGATTTTATTTATTTTTAGAGAGAGAGCATGAGCAAGGGAAGGAGTAAAGGGGGAGGGAGAGGGAGGGAAAAGAATCTCAAGCAGACTCTGTGCTGAATGAAGAGCCCGACTCAGGTTTGGATCTTACAACCCTGAGACCATGACCCGAGCCAAAACCAAGGGTAGGACACTTAACCAACTGAGCCACCCAGGCACCCCAGTTTTGAATTATTTGTGTTAAAATACAGGCTCAATCGCCTTGAGACTATGATGGAACTAGTTAAATGTTTTGTAAAGAAATTTTAGTTTCACATACTATATCTTCTTGTATTTTTACTTTATGACAAATTTAGCTGTCATTTGAATTAAAATTTGAGTTATTCATGCAGGATAAAATCCTTGTATTTAAAAAGGCTACTTCTTTTGAACATTATTTTTAAGTTCTCTTAAGCTTTTCATTTTTTTTTTTAAAGATTTTATTTATTTATTTGGCAGAGAGATAGAGAGCATAAGTAGGCAGAGAGGCAGGCAGAGGGAGAGGGAGAAGCAGACTCTGCACCGAGCAGGGAGCCCGACGTGGGGCTCGATCCCAGGACCCTGGGAGCATGACCTGAGCCTAAGGCAGCCGCTTAACTGACTGAGCCACCTAGGCACCCCTGACTTTTTTTTTTTTAATGGTGATTCAAAATCCTAATGAAAATATGTCTCTAGGTTGTAGAAGAGTGAAATGACGCTAAGTTACAACTTTCTCGAGAACAGAATGCCAGAGTATTATAAGATGGAATTCTAAAGAATCACCTTTGCAAACAAAAGGAGATAGAAGTGGGTAATAACAGAATGAATTCTGGGGTATTTTTTTAGTTATTTTTAAGTACATGTGTGTATGTATTTATATGTATATACATTTTATTTTCTGAAATTATTTTTTCTCCATGTATGCATATATATATTTTAAAAACCAACACTAGATCATGGAAAGCATAGAGGATTTTTAAAGTGTAAATGTGTGTGTGTATGTGTGTGTGTATTGGGGGGGCATAGGGGGCGGTGACATTTTTGGTCCAGTGGATAAAGTAATATCCTTAATTTAAATGCGTTTGTCTGCAAGAGTCAAATAGTGACATTCATCATGTCCTCATCCAAAGGAGAAGCTTTTAATATTTTCCATAAGAATTGTTGAGCTTTCCATATGCTCAAAACTAGTGCTACTAACAACATATGTTTCCATTTTGGGCAGTTACTTCATCACCTCTGTATTGAAAGAGAAGTTAGCTTAACACTGCCACTGATGAACAGGAGGAGTGTAGCCCGTTCAGAGACTTTCTTTTGGACTTAGTCTCTACTTTTGAGAAAAGTAGCAAGTTGCTCCAAGTAATATCCTATTTCATTAGAAGGCGCTTTTGAAACAATTATATGCTAATGATAATTTATTGATGAGTGTTTTATTCCTAATAAAATAGCTCCGTGTATTTTCCCCTATTTTAAACATCATGAAGAGGAAATAAAATTTATTGCAGCAGCAAATAATCTCATGATTTTTCTAAGAGCTGTATAAATTTTACCTTATTTACCATCAGTATTTTGAAATATAAGGCTCCTTTTGTATTTTTGATTTACACTAGACAAGAGCTGCGGTTTGGTGTAAGAGCACTAGTAGTGGAGTAAGAAGACCTGGGGAAAGTCCTGCAGCTCACTTAATGTTTTTAACCTCTCCATTCCAGAATTGTGATACTAAAAATTTCACTGATGTCGGTAGAAGTGTTTATAGTATAGTGACTGGATTTGTCAGTTATCAGTAGATGTAATTCTTATAAGTGACTATAGAAATATTAGAAAAGTAGAATTTGTATGGAATATTGTCAGGAAAAAAGAATTTTAGGAAATTGAATCTGTCAAAATAAAGGCAGAGCTCTGGATTTTATTGTGGGGTAGCTGTGTTAGATATCAGACTGTAAATTGAATTTTTAGTGTAATCAGATTTATTAATCTTTTATTTCAGGCTTTCTGGGTTTGTTGTAAATCAAAGACTTTTCCAGTTCTGAGATTCTTAAAAATTGTGTCTTGGTTTCTTTTTTCCTTTCATGCATTCACTGTCTTCAATTAAATTTTTGAAACTTTGGGAATTTATGCTTGTATCAAGTTTGAGGTTTGGACCCAACTTTATTTTTTCCTGGTTGGGATATCCACTTACTGCAACCTATTCTTTGTATAAACATAGGTTATTTTTTAATTTCAGAGAAAATCAGGATAATGTCATTTTATTGAGTTCCAGCTAAAAGTCTGCTTTGTTTTACTTAGATGTCTAATAGTCATAAAGAAGAAAAAGATCTGTTGCCTAAAACCCACATGTGGCAGGATGAAATTGCCATGCTAAGACTGGAAATAGACACAATAAACAATAAGAACCAGGAAATGGAAAGTAAATATTGTGAAGACATTGAAATTATAAAAGAAGAGTGTCAGTCTTCTAAAGACCATAAAACTGAATGAGGAAACATTAACAAAAACAATATTAGAATATAGTGGACAGATTAATGCCCTGACCACTGAGAATACAATGCTAAAGTCTAAACTGGAGAATGAAAAGCAAAACAAAGAAAGACTGGACACACAAGTTGGATCATATCGAGCTAGACTAGCTACTGCTCTAGAGGATTATGATCAAAGTCAGGCGTCAAAAAGAGACCTAGAACTTGCTTTCCAGAGAGCAAAAGATGAATGGTTTTGTCTGCAGGACAAACTGAATTTTGATGTGTCTAACCTAAAAGAAAACAATGAGCTTCTTTCTCAAAACCTTTCTAAAGCTGAAAGTAAATTCAATAGTTTAGAAATTGAGCTCCATCACACAAGAGATGCTCTCAGGGAAAAGACTTTGGTTTCAGAATGTGTACAAAGAGACCTAAGTCAAACACAGTGTCAGAAAAAGGAAATGGAACACATGTATCAAAATGAACAAGATCAAGTGAATAAATACATTGGAAAGCAGGAATCCTTAGTGGAGAGATTATCTCAACTACAAAGTGAAAATATGCTGCTTCATCAGCAACTAGATGATGCTCACAACAAAGCTGCCAGTAAAGAAAATGTAGTAACTAATATCCAGGACCAGTTTCAGGGTATCGTACAAAAACTTCAAGCTGAAAGTGAAAAACACGGTCTTTTGCTGGAAGCAAGCAATAGAGAGCTAATCAATGAATGTAATCTTTTAAAAGAAAGAATGTATCAGTATGAAAAGGAGAAAGTAGAAAGAGAAGTAAGTATCCAGAAAGATAAATATTTTTCAAGCTTTCTAAGAGAAAATTCAAAGTAATATTTGATTATTATTATTATTTTTAGAGAGAAAGAGTGCACCTGCACATGAATGGGAGTGGGGCAGAGGGAGAGGGAGAGAGAATCCCAAGAGGGCTCCACATCAGAAAACTCTACCTCATGCCCCTGAGATCATGACCTGAATGATTATGGCTGAATTTTGCATCTACTTGAATATAAAAAATATATAGACTGTAATTCAGCATAACTTGTATCCAGCAAATAAAAATTAGACTTGAGAGGGGCTTTAATTTGAATAAAATTATTGTGTCATCTATGCAAGGTTAAGAGGTTAACTTATAAATTGTTAATAGAAGGCTGATACTAATAATTTAGTCTTATACTGCTAAAATAATAATTTTAATCTTTGTCACCACATTTTAATACCATGATGAATAGATAAATGGAAATGTTCATACCTGCAATGAGCATGTTGAAATTGAGATTCAATTAAGTGGATTCACTTGACGGTTTACTCCAGATTTCCCACATGAACTGAAGTGTAGATGCTGTATCTCAGTACTTTTCCTCTGGTAGCTTTTTATACATTTTAGGTTGAAATAATTTTATTTTTATTTATATAAATTTGAATTTTTAGTCTGAAATCGTGTATCTTATGACCTTTTAACCCTTTGCAGGCACTTTTCATTAAATCGTAATTTGGGACAACTGTGGAGAGCTTTAGCAAAACTCTTTGATTTAATCTTCCCACTGCTATTTATAATTTTTTAAGGCAATTTTACAAATAATTTGCTTATTTCAAAGCTCAGTGACTATCATTTGGGTATAAGTTTTTCCAATACAAAGAGAATTGTATCTGTAATATTTTAATTTGGCATTGGATCTCCATTTTCAGACTAATGGGGGGTGGCAGGATTCTTGTACTGTAGCAGGAATGGAGGTCAGGGAGGGAGGTGAAAGCCAGGTTATCTAGGGCCTTGAAGCCCATTAGCATGACTTCACTTTTATTCTGAGATAGTAATCTATTGGAAGGATTTGAGCAGAGGATTGAATACGTGAGGAACTTTGACATTAATTTAAGCCTCTAATAAAAAAGAGGGAAACCATGTCATCATGTAGAATTTACCACTGCTAGGCCCACCTATATACCCATTTCTTTTTGAGACTTCAGTAGGGTGGGAAGCTTTGCAGATTCATCAACAAGGAATGGAGAGTGGGGCTGAATTAATTATCTAAGTAACATAACACTGACTAGGCAAGAGGATAAGACCTGTATGTGGTGATATTTTTCAAAGTACATATGTTAGAGTTATATATTATTAACATAACGTCATATAAGATAATTTATAAAATCAGTAACAGAAACGTCTTATTAGGTAACGGTGAGACACCTTCAACTAGAACTGGGTGATTCCCTAAAAAAACAGTCTATTTCAGAGGCTTCGCTGGAGGTTACATCACATTGCCGTATTAATTTAGAAGATGAGACACAGGATTTGAGGAAGAAATTAGGTCAAATCAGAACTCAGGTAAGTATTAAATGTAGCATGTCAACAGTTAGTCTGTAGCAGGTTAATATAAAGTGTTTTAGGATGCTAATTTCCATGGACCATTTTCTTTTGTATTTACATTATAATTTAGTGTAATTTTAGTATCTTCACAATGCACTATGTCTTAAACTTTGACTTTCATTTTGCTATTTGTGTTATACATTTTTTTTTCTTACAGTATTTACCATTAGGAAAGTTGAAACTTATTCATCATTCCTCACAGAAATTGAGGGACTTTTTTTTCCTACTGTACAATTTTTTTTAAAGATTTATGTAGTCTTTGAGAGAGAGCGAGAGCGCGTGCGCATGCACACGCGTGAGTGGGGGGAGAGGCAGAGGGAGAGGGAGAGAATCTCGAGCAGACTCCCTGCCCAGCACAGAGCCCCGCGCCAGCTCGATTCCATGATCCTGAGCTGAAATCATGAGTTGGATGCTTAACTAACTGAGCCACCCAGGTGCAATGTTTTTTAATGATCTCTCTGTTACCATGATGATGTGAGCCATATAAAATCAGAAGATAATCTTTAATGGAATGTTTCAGAAAATTGACTTATTTCTCATGTTCACTTTTATGAACGGATATAGAATCTGTACTGATTTTAGGATAACTTGTAAAGAAAAGTCATTTTTCAAACCAGTTGAACTTAGGCATTTCCTTCATTTTCTTTTCCTTTTAGATATATTGTAAATGCATAGAAATATTCAGATCATGTGTAGTATATACGCCCAAAAGAGAGAATTAAGAAATTAAGAATGAGTCCTGCCATTGGGTTTTTTTTTTTAAGATTTTATTTATTTGACAGAGAGAGACACTGCGAGAGAAGGAACACAAGCAGGGGGAGTGGGCGAGGGAGAAGCAGGCTTCCTGCCGAGCAAGGAGCCTGATGTGGGGCTTGATCCCAGGACCCTGGGACCATGACCTGAGCTGAAGGCAGCCGCTTAATGACTGAGCCACCCAGGCGCCCCCATTGGATTTTTTAAAAACTTTATTGATATAATGCACATACCATACAATTCACCCAGTTAACATGTATAGTTCAGTGTTTCTGATCATATTCATAGAGTTGTGCAACTATCACTGCCATCAAGTAGAACATTTTCATCACCCTGAAAAGAAACCCTTAGCCCTTGAGCCCCCAGCCTCAGGCAACCACCAGTCTACTTCCAGCCTCTATAGAGTGGCCTATTCTGAATATTTCATATAAAGGGGGTCATACAATGTGTGGTCCTTTGTGACTAGCTTCTTCTACTTAATGTTTTCAGGGTTCATCTGTGTTATCGCATATATCAGTGCTTTTTTTTTTTTTTTTTTTTTTTTTTTTTGGTCCAACAGTACTCCATTGTGGGCCAAAACCCTTGTTCATTCATCATTTGATGCACCTTTGGGTTGTTTCCCACTTTATGGCCATTAATACTGTTGCTCTGAACGTTGATTTAATTATTGTCTGGACATCTGTTTTTATTTCCCTGCCATCAGATTTTATCCTCTGAGTTAATTGGGTTGATTTCACCATCTCTCAGCCTTTTACTCATGCTGTCCTTTCTGTCCTTTTAGTTTCCCTTCCTCTTGCATAATCTGACACTATTCAGACCTGGCTCATAGTCTCTCATTCTCCTTGAAGCTCTCTCTGACTATTCTAATTCCCACTGACTTTACTCTCTTCACACTTGTCTCATCTAGTCTATGCAGAACAATTTAGTCCTTTATTTTACATTGGTTTTATTTTTTTCATGAGAGAGAATTTTGTCTACGTACACATTTATCTAAGGGGGAAAATATGGGATATGCATGGTACCTATCCTTCTCTAAATTGAGAATACTTTAACAGTGTTTAGGATAAAATTAAGTACTTTATACCATATCAATAATTTCTGATTGAAAGCGTTGACATAACAAAGCTTTTATTCTAAATGTATTTTAAGCAATTCAATGTAAAATTGAAAGCATTTAATCTGACAGAGGAGAAGTGTTCAATCAAATGCTTGTTTGTCCCCCCTCACTGTGGAAAATCCGTCTAAATTTGCCTTTGTTCATTTTGCAGCCAGTACTGAGATTTCTTTACCAACTATAAAGCTCCGGGCAAAGCTTTTCTTTTCTTTTTTTTTTTCTTTTTACCTTTCTTTTTTAAAGTTTGTTTGTTTGTGTATTTATTTCTTTATGTAATTTCTACACCCATTGTGAGGCTTGAACTCATGACCCAAGGTCAAGAGTCATGTTCTTCCCGCTGAGCCAGCCAGGCGCCCCTGGGGACAGTTTTTTCTCATATGCCATACCACGTAGCCTTAATGTATTCATCAGAGTACTTGCTAAAGCAGTGTAACAGAGACAGTTGTTAAGATAATATAAACATGACATGATTTGGGAATGTTGATTTAGCAAGAGTCCATTATTTCCACGTCAGTGGCTTTACCTTGCCTTTGATGGTCATGTAAATATTTATTACTCAGTCTAGGCGGTACTATTTACACTGTAGTCCATGAGATTGTCCACTGAGTAGTATAGAGAGGAAGGAAATTAAATTATTATAAGTGGAAAAAAGTACTGTTAGCTAGTGGAATTGGTAAAAGTTTTTTGAAGTATGGAGGATGTATTCTGGGCCTCACGCTCCCCATTTGCTGCCACTTTCAGTGGTATGAAGAACGATTTCAGTGTAACTTGTATAAGAGACCACTTTCATTGGCCTACCATCTGCCTAAAATATGAAATATTATTAGAACATAACCTACAGCAACAATAATAATGCTAATTGCAGACAGAATCTGGTGTGTGCCACATGCCTTTCTAAATAGTTCATGTATAGGGGCACCTGGGTGGCTCAGTTGTTAAGTGTCTGCCTTCGGCTCAGGTCATGATCCCAGAGTCCTGGGATCAAGTGCTGCATCGGGCTCTCTGCTCCACGGGAAGCCTGCTTCTCCCTCTCCCACTCCCCCTGCTTGTGTTCGTCTCTCACTGTCTCTCTGTCAAATATATACAATCTTTAAAAAATAAAAATAAAAAAATATAGTTCATGTAAATTTCCTAAATTAATCTTCCCAACATCCCCCTGTGGTAGATAGTATTATTATCTTCATTTTACAGAGAAGAAACTGAGACACAGAAATTTTAAGTAATTTGTTCCAGGTCATACAGCTAATACCCAGTGAGTTGGGATTCAGACCCCAGGCATTCTGGTTCCTACGAAGATAATGCCTCTCATACTATTCCATGAAATATCTAGTTGTCACTGAAAGCAACATGTTAACTTTTATAATCACTGGAACAGCCATGGTCATCACATATGTGAATATTTAAAAGTACAATGGATGTGGTACTTCGAATACAAATATAGAAATGTTTATTTACATAAGGTAATTTCCTATCTTTCCCCCTTTGACCAATATATAAATTTGTAGGTTCAGCTGATAAAATATAATTTAAAAACATTAAAAACGTGACATTTTAGTAACTAGAGAAGTCAGCAAACTTTTCTGTAAGGGGATTGTAAATATTTTATTTTAAGATTGTATTTATTTGAGAGAGAGAAGGAACAGTGGGGAAGGGCAGAGGGAGAGAGAGAGAGAGAAGCAGACTCCCTGTAAATATTTTGGGCTTCGCCATAGGTCTCTGTTGCAGCAGTTCAAATCTGCTGTAGCCATAAAGCAGTATGTAGAGGAGAGTGTGGCTGTGTCCACTAAAATTTTATTTACAAAAACAGCTGATGGTGGTTTTATACTAGATTGCCAGTAGTTCAAAGTATTTCTTTTTTTTCTTTTTTAGTTGCAAGAAGCACAAGATCGACATGCAGAGGCTGTAAGATGTATTGAGACGTCGAAAGATCACGTGCAAAAGTACAATTTAAAGCAGCACAGAAAATAACTTGAGTATTTATAAAGCAGAGAAGCAGTGTAGGATGAGAAATATATCAGTTATGATAATAAGTACATCATTGTTAAGCTGGATAAAAATTTCAGCTTTGCGCTATTTGGAAATGCATAAATTTTGCATATTATCTTTAAATTTTGCACATTAACTATAAAACGCAACCAGAAAAATGGCACAATTGCCAAATCTTCTACTTTTAAATTTTTAAAAATTTATGTAAGACCGTCAGATGTTTGTTTAGAAATTATACGGTACTTTTAAAATTTACGTGTGAGAATAATTTAAAAATACTCATTTTAGGCTTGAAGTTGAAAATGCCAAGTTAAAAGTTACAGTCAAAAAACAAGCGCACAAAAATGAACAACTTCAGGAAAACCTGTTAAGTACAAGTTCGGTAAGTCAGTCTCTTAATTTCTCTCCTACTGAAAAGAAATCTTTATTTCTCTAGTAGTAGTATATAAGACCATTTTGGATAATATGAAAATTCTCACTAATAAAAATGTTTATTGTATTCATATTGTTGCTACTTGCTACTGGTAGTATAATTCCTCTTTATAGATGAAGTTGAATTCGTAAATTAATCATTTTTATAGTAAGATTGTAATAAAAAAGATTGTGGTAGTCCAAGATAAGCAATATTTTATACATACCACATTTTATTTAACTATCTGGCAGTGGACAATTGAGTTTTTCTACCTTTTGGGTATTGTTAATAATGCTGCTGTGAATATTGGTATACAAACGTCCAAGTCCCTACTAATATTTTTCAGTATGTTTAAAAATTCTGAAACTTTGAGTCATAATTTGATCTTGAATTCTGACTTTCTCTTGTAATCTAAACCCTTCAGTGAGATTTGAGAATGGATTACTCTCATGATTATTTGTTGTGATTTGTAATTATATATTTGTAATTTGTTGTCTTCATCAAGAATGACTACTAGGTCATTATGCAAACATTTTTCTCAAAGGAATATATTTTTCTCTTTGTTGGATTTTGAAAAGGAAAAGAGATGCCAGTGAAAAAGTGGAAATGACTGCTCAGTCAGGGCCTTACATAGTAACATAGTGCTCTTGCATTCACTGCAAGTTCAGGAACTTTTATTTTTTTTCCTTAATTTGAGTTAATCAGCCTTTCAGAGATTTAACAATCGAATCTCAGAAAAGATTAATGTGCAATGCAGGATTCCAACTTATTGATACGTAATGAAAACTATATAACTATTTACCAAGCAGAACCGGATTATCATGCCATTTATACCCTCCTTCATAGGAGAGGCTACCAATGATTTAAGATGAGAAGACTGCATTGTGAGTCCTAGGTTGGAACAATGAGGTAGATGCACCTACCACTAGTTTCTTTTAGTCACAGAAGCTGCATCCTTGCAAATTTCGTTATACAGCTATACCTATCAGGGGAACTAGCATATTCTGTTGACTGGTCCTTTTTGTGGCCAAAGAAACATCGAAAGTTTCTAAAGTCAGACGATCATCAAAACTGTAATGGGGACTGCATGGGAATCGAAAATTATTTTTTTTTTATATTTCCTATAAATTAGTCACATTGTATTACTATAGTTTTCATTGAGCAAGTAAGGTGACGATATGTGAATGAGAATGCCAGGAGTTGTCCCCCTACGGTGTCATATAGAAATCTATTAAGGAAGGTATCAAATCTTGTAAAGTTTGTAAGAATATCTGTAGGTATTCTGTAGATTCCAATGGAAATGAATTAGGGTTATGACATAAAATTATTAGCCACTTTCAGGTCTACCCTGTGAAACAAACACTTAGCTTTCAACCAACTCAGTCCACAGTCCTAACATCTCTAGAAGGATTTTATCTCATGAATCCCCAGGCCAGAGACTACCTGGGTTAAGATATTTGATGGACATAGTTTTGAGGGGAAGAGTCTGGATTGGGAAGAAGAGATAGCTCTAGGCTGACTTAAGCTTCCAAACAATATAGTCAAGTATGTGTCTGAAAAGAACTTCAGAAGAAGACTTCCATAAGATCCAATCTCTATGGAATAGGAAATTATTCAAAAGAAAACAAAGGCAAACAATTGATAGTCTGACCCTTGGGAGAAACATTTACATCAGAAAAGAAAAGCAAGACAGAGTATGGTGGTCAGCATCCTAAGGGTAAGGGTGCCCCCTGAGATGACAGAATAACAATACAGTCAAAGTAATACCAAAAAGAGTCAACATAAAATGTACACGGTTAGCTGTCTAGGGGTACCCGGGTGGCTCAGTCAGTTAGGCGCCTGCTTTCGGCTCAGACCATGATCTCAGGGTCCTGAGATTGAGCCCTGCTCAGCTGGGAGTCTGCTTCTCCCTCTCCCTCTGCTCCTTCCCCTATTCATGCACTCTCTATTTCAAATAAATAAATTTTTTAAAAAATTAGCTGTCTATAAAGGTAATCCACATCAGGTAATGGTTTTTGAGTGTGTGGTTGATTATATTGTCTATGAGGAACTAGAAGGAAGATCAAAAAGTAGAGATGACCTCAGTAAAGGGGTCAAGGCTGGAAATGTAGATTAGAGAATCTGGTTTTGAAGCCTTGAGATTTAACCAAGTCTGAGAGGATTTGATAAGAGGAATAGCAAGGGTCAGGGACTACCCGCGGTTGCTGTCATTTAGAAATAAAATGGGTTTAGAGAGCAGAGGGAGGGCATGGTCATTGTTTTCAGCTGTTGCTGAGAAGTAAAGCAGGATAAAGACTTTAAAAAAAAGATCCTTGATGACCCTCAGAATTTTTTAGTGGAATATCAGGATTGAAACTCGATTTTAGTGTAAAAGAAGAAACTAAGTGTTGGAAAGATGAATCTGTGGATGAGATGACACATTAAAGAATGCTCAAGTCCAGTGAAAGGGGAGAAGCAGGATGGTAGAAAAAGCTGCAAGAGTGAAGCAAAAGTTTTTATGTAATATGGAGAAGACTTAAACTTTATTTAAAGAGAAAGGTAGTTAATAGAAAAGAAGAAATTGAAACCTTGCAGAGATGCTTGCAATGCTTGCAGAGAAGGAGAGTATCTCATTCTAAAGTCAGACGATCATCAAAACTGTCATGGGGACTGCATGGGAATTTTTCAGAGATTATCTTAAAAAGGTATGATCTCCCAAAACCCAGCGTATCTTAAGCTTTGGATGAAAATATTTCTAGGGTATCTTTAGAAACTAAAATGTAAATGTAACCACTTTTTAAAATTTTTCATTAACACTTAGTATTAATATGGGTAAGAACCTCTGTATTTAACAAGTAAATTCTGGCAGTTTAAATTCTAGAAAAAATAATGATGAAAATGTAAAATCAGTTTAAGCTGTTTTTAAGAAAGGTCCTTATATTTGAAATTTGTATTTATTGGCATCAGGTTTATAAAACTATATTATGTAAAACTTAAAATTATAAATTTCAAACTACATTATATAAATTTAAAATTATAAATTTATAGAATTTATAAAATGTAGTTTATGAGCCTTTCTAAACACTTTATTACTTATGAATTCATGAGAAACAATATTTTATGATAGAAGAATGAGTATCTTGTTTTTCAAATATAATTTTCTTTAAAAATTTTTTTCAAAGTCTGATGAAAAGGGACAGATAAAGAAATTGATTGAGTTGAAACAATCTCTGGAATGTAGTTTGGACCAAGAAATGAAGAAAAATGGTGAATTAGAAAAAGAGATGACTAGGTAAGACTAATATTTCAGATAAATTTAACCATTAATTAACTGATTTAACTGTAATTTTACTTTATTAAATACAAATTCTTGGCAAAATATTACACTTACTCTTTAATGATTCCTTAAATAATAACAACAGTTCCTTTAACAATAACAACTGTAAGTTTCATTGTCCATCTTGAAGAGTTTCTCCAAGATATCTTTGTTCTTTGGTAATATTTCCTGTTAATAGTGTTCTTCCCTTCCAACAAGTATTTTAATATCTAAAAACCTGTGTCACTGTTTAATCATATCAAAAGTTATCTTGGTTTGGCTTATATTTTCTTTTTTTTAATATTATTTTTTAAATTTAAATTCAGTTAACCGACATAAAGTATATTAATTTCCAAGGTAGAGTTCAGTGATTCATCAGTCTTATATAACACCCAGTGCTAATTACATTAGGTGCCCTCCTTAATGTCCATCATCCAGTTACCCCATCCTTCTCCCCTCCTCCGCTCCAGCAACCCTCAGTTTGTTTCCTTTGATTAAGAGTCCCTTGTGATTTGTCTCCCATTCTAATTTCATCTTGTTTTATTTTCCCCTCCCTTCCCCTATGCTCCTCTGTTTTGTTTCTTAAATTCTACATAAGAGTGAAATCAAATGATAATTATCTTTTCTGACTGACTTATTTGGCATAATACCCTCTAGTTCCATCCACGTCACTGCACGATTTCATGTTTTTTATTGGCTGAGTAATAGTCCATTGTATATATCTACACATCTTTATCCATTTATCTGTCAATGGACATCGGGGCTCTTTCCACAGTTTGGCTATTGTGGACATTGCTGCTATAAACATTGGGGTGTAGGTGCCCCTTCGGATCACTACATTTGTATCTTTGGGGTAAATCCTTAGTAGTGCAATTGCTGGGTCGTTGGGTAGCTCTATTTTCAACTTTTTGAGCAACTTCCATACTGTTTTCCAGAGTGGCTGTACCAGCTTGCAGCCCAGCAGCAGTGTAAGAGGATTCCCCATTGTCTGCAACTCCACCAACATCTGTTGTTTCTGACTTGTTCATTTTAGCCATTCCAACAGGTGTGAGGTGATACCTCATTGTGGTTTTGATTTGTATTTATTTCCCTGATGCCAAGTGATGTTGGGCACTTTTCCATGTGTCTGTTGACCATTTGAGTGTCTTCTTTGGAGAAATGTCTGTTCACGCCTTCCACGCGTTTCTTCACTGGATTATTTGTTCTTTGGGTGTTGAGTTTGATAAGTTCTTTCTATATAGATTTTGCATACTAGCCCTTTTTCTGACATGTCATTTGCAAATATCTTCTCCCATTCTGTCAGTCATCTTTTGGTTTTCCACTTCCTTTGCTGTGCAAAAGCTTTTTATCTTGATGAAGTCTTTGTTACCCTTGCCTTTGGAGACGTGTCCAGCAAGAAGTTGCTGCAGTCCAGGTCACAGAAGTTGCTGCCTGTGCTCTCCTCTAGGATTTTGATGGGTTCCTGTCTCACATTTAGGTCTTACATTCATTTTGAGTGTATTTTTGTGTATGGAGTAAGAAAATGGTCCAGTTTCATTCTTCTGCGTGTGGCTATCCACTTTTCCCAACACCATTTCTTGAAGAGACTGTCTTTTTTCCATTGGCCGTTCTTTCCTGCTTTGTCGAAGATTAGTTGACCATAGAGTTGAGGGTCCGTTTCTGGGTTCTTTGTTCTGGTTCATTGGCCGATGTGTCTGTTTTTGTGCCAGTACCATACTGTCTTGATGATTTCAGCTTTGTCGTAGAGCTTGAGGTCTGGAATTGTGATGCCACCAGCTTTGGTTTTCTTTTTCAACATTCCTTTGGTAATTTGGGGTCTTTTCTGGTTCCGTACAAATTTAAGGATGATTTGTTCCAGCCCTGTGAAACAAGTTGATGGTATTTTGATAGAGATTGCATTGAATGCACAGGTTCCTCTGGGTAGCGGTAGCATAGACATTTTAAGAAATTTGTTCTTCCAATCCATGAACATGGAGTGTTTTTCCATTTCTTTGTGTCTTCCTCAGTTTCTCTCATGAATGTTCTATAGTTTTCAGAGTACAGATCCTTTGCCTCTTTGGTTAGGTTTATTCCTAGGTATCTTAAGGTTTTTGGTGCAATTGTAAATGAGTTCGACTCCTTAATTTTTCTTTCTTCTGTCTCATTGTTAGTGTATAGAAATGCAACTGATTTCTGTGCCTTGATTTTATATCCTGCCACTTTGCTGAATTCCTGTATGAGTTTTAGCAATTTTGGGGTGGAGTCTTTGCGGTTCTCCACATAGAGTATTACGTCACCTGCAAAGAGTGAGAGTTTGACTACTTCTTTGCTGATTCTGATGCCTTTTATTTCTTTTCATTGTCTGATTGTTGAGGCTAGGACTTCTAGTACTATGTTGGACAACAGTGGTGAGAGTGGACATCCCTGTCGTGTTCCTGACCTTAGGGGAAAAGCTCACAGTTTCTCCCCATTGACAATGATATTCGCCGTGGGCTTCTCATAGATGGCTTTTATGGTATTGAGGTATGTGCCCTCTATTCCTGCACTGTGAAGAGTTTTAATCAAGAAAGTGTGCTGTACTTTGTCAAATGATTTTTCTGCATCTATAGAGGGGATCATATGGTTCTTGTCCTTTCTTTTATTAATGTAGTGTATCACACTGATTATTGATTTGTGGATGTTGAACCACCTTTGCAACCCAGGAATAAGTCCCACTTGATTGTGGTGAATAATCCCCTTAATGTACTGTTGGCTCCTATTGGCGAGTATCTTGATGAAAATTTTTGCATCCGTGTTCATCAGGGATATTGGTCTGTAATTCTCCTTTTTGGTGGGGTCTTTGGTTTGGGAATCAAGGTAATGCTGGCCTCATAGAAAGAGTTTGGAAGTTTTCCTTCCATTTCTATTTTTTGAAACAGCTTCAGAGGAATGGGCATTAATTCCTCTTTAAGTGTTTGTTAGAACTCCCCAGGGAAGCCATCTGGCCCTGGAGTTTTGTTTGTTGGGAGATTTTTGATTACTGCTTCAATTTCCTTGCTGGTTGTGGGTCTGTTCGGGTTTTCTGTTTCTTCCTGTTTCAGTTTTGGTAGTTTCTACCTGTCTAGGAATGCATTCATTTCTTCCAGATTGCCTACTTGGTTGACATATCGTCGTTCCTAATATGTCCTTAAAATTGTTTGTATTTCCTTGGTGTTGGTTGTGATCTCTCTTCTGTCATCATGATTTTATTTATTTGGATCCTTTCTCTTTTCTTTTTGCTAAGTCTGGCCAGGGGTTTATCGATCCTATTAATTCTTTCAAGGAACCAGCTCCTAGTTTCGTTACTGTGTTCTACTGTTGTTTTGGTTTCTATTTCATTGATTTCTGCTCTGATCGTTATTAATTCTCTTCTCCTGCTGGGTTTCGGCTTTATTTGCTGTTCTTTCTCCAGCTCCTTTAGGTGTAAGGTTAGGTTGTGCATTTAGGACCTTTCTTGTTTCTTGAGAAAGGCTGTTGTCACTCTATACTTCCCTCCCCGGACTGCCTTTGCTGCATCCCAAAGGTTTTGAACAGTTGTGTTTTCATTTTCCTTTGTTCCCATGAATTCTTTAATTCTTCTTTAATTTCCTGGTTGACCCATTTATTCTTTAATAGGATGCTCTTTAACTTCCATGTATTTGAGTTCTTTCCGAATTTCCTCTTGTGATTGAATTCAAGTTTCAAGGCGTTGTGGTCTGAACCTATGCAGGGAATGATCCCATACTTTTGGTACCGGTTGAGACCTGATTTGTGACCCAGTATGTGATGGCTTCTGGAGAAAGTTCCATGTGCGCTCCAGAAGAATGTGTATTCTGTGGCTTTAGGCTGGAATGCTCTGAATATATTTGTGAAGTTCATCTGGTCCAGTGTCGACCTCGGAGAGTTGTGGACGTGGGGTGGAGAAGGAACTGAGGAAAAGAGACGACAGTAGAGCGAGGCAGCGGGGACCCCGAGCATGCAGCCCAAGGTCCCGAGGTTTATTTTCCATAATCTTATATACCTTCTACAGCGATATAGAGATATAATGATTTACAGCAGGGGTTAGTTAGGCACATTCTTCCATGTACATAGGATTAGTCCTCCGTGTATGATAAGAATATTTAAAGTAGGACAAGGGAACAAAGAGGGGAGTGCACAGTGTGCTATTTACAGAACAAGGGAACAAAGAGGGGAGTGCACAGTGTGCTATTTACAGAACAAGGGAACAAAGAGGGGAGTGCACAGTGTGCTGTTTATAGGTGGCTTCCTATCTACAAAACATCTTCTGCTGCATACTTTAGAACAGACTGCACACGTCCCAAGGGCATTTCACTCTGATCTTTTCGGCTTATTTTTAACCATGCAATCTCGAGGTTTGTCAGAGATCTTGGAGTCTGAACGAACATGCACCAGTGGTTGTTGTGGCGTTCTATTTCCCACAGTCCAGTGTGTCATTCACTGTTATTATTGTATCATCATCAATGTGTTTCTTTAATTTTGTTATTAATTGGTTTATGTCATTGGCTGCTCCCGTGTTCTGGGCACAAATATTTACAATTGTTAGATCTTCTTGTTGGATAGACCCCTTTAAGTCATTGTGATAGTGTCCTTCCTCATCTCTTATTACAGTCTTTGGTTTAAAATCTAATTTGTCTGATATAAGGATTGCTACCCCAGCTTTCTTTTGAAGTCCATTAGCATGATAAATGGTTTTCCACTCCCTCACTTTCAATCTGGAGGTGTCCTTGGGTCTAAAATGAGTCTCTTGCAGACAGCATATCAATGGGTCTTGCTTTTTTATCCAATCTGATACCCTGCGTCTTTTGATTGGGACATTTGGCCCATTTATATTCAGGGTAACTATTGAAAGATATGAATTTCGTGCCATTGTAATACCTGTAACGTCACTGTTTCTGTATATTGTCTCTGTTCCTTTCTGGTCTGTGTTACTTTGGGGCTCTCTCTTTGCGTAAAGGATCCCCTTTAATATTTCTTGTAGGGATCGTTTAGTGATCACAAATGTTTTAGTTTCTGTTTGTCCTGGAAACTCTTTATCTCTCCTTCAGTTTTGAATGACAGCCTTGCTGGATAAATGAAGTATTTTTGTCTGCATATTTTTCTCATTTAGCACCCTGAATATATCATGCCAGTCCCTTCTGGCCTGCCAGGTCTCTGTGGTTAGGTCTACTGCCAGTCTAATGTTTCTACCCTTGTCGGTTAAGGACCTCTTGTCCTGAGCTACTTTCAGGATTTTCTGTTTGACTCTGAAATTTGCAGGCTTCACTAGTATATGTTGAGATGTTGACCTATTTTTATTGATGTTGAAGGGGGTTCTCTGTGCGTCCTGGATTTGAATGCCTGTTTCCTTCCCCAGATGAGGGAGGTTCTCTGCTATAATCTCTCAAATATATCTTCTGCCACCCCCCCTTCCTCGTCTTCTGGGATCCCAATTATTCTACTATTGTTTTACTTTATGGTATCACTTATGTCTTGAAATTTCACCTGGTGATCCAGTCGTTTATCTCTCTTTTTCCTCAGCTTCTTTATTCTCCGTCATTTTGTCTTCTGTATCACTACTTCTCCTTTCTGCCTCATTTATCCTGGCAGTTAGAGCCTCTATTTTTTTTAGAGCCTCTATATTTGATTGCATCTCATTAATAGCCTTTTTGATATCGACTTGATTAGATTTTAGTTCTTTTATTTCTTCAGAAAGGGATTCTCTAGTGACTTCTATACTTTTTTCAAGCCCAGGTAGTATCTTTATCATCTTTATTCTGAACTCTAGTTCTGACCTCTTATATCCATACAGATTAGGTCCTTGGCAGTCATTACTGCCTCTAGTTCTCTTATTTGAGCTGAGTTTTTACGTCTTGTCATTCTGTCCAGAGAATAGATGAATGAGCGAACAAAATATTAAAAGAGCAACAACAACCCCAGTGAAATATACACTAAACAAATTAGAAGAGACCCAGAACCAAAAAAAAAAAAAAAAAGAATATAATCAGGTAAACAGAACAGAGAAATACACTGGATCCTGTGTGTATTTTGGTCTGTTTGTTAGAAAAGTACATCCCAAAATTGTAAAGAAAGAAAAACTTATATATATACATATATATACACACACACACACACACACACACAAATAAAATTAAATACAATGAAAGGATAGAATGTAAGTGTAAAAATGAAAGGTAAAAAAGACTTGCAGAAAGTGGTTGCTTTTCTTTTTTTTTTTATTACTAACATACAGTGTATTATTTGTTTCAGGGGTACAGATCTATGATTCATCAGTCTTACATAATACACAACGGTCACCACAACACATACCCTCCCCAAACGTGGTCGCTTCTCTATTTGCAGAATTGCGGCAATTTTTTTCTGAGATCTCTGGTTGAGTTCACAGGTGTTCAAAATCATTTTATAGCTATCTAATGAGTTCTGGACCAGACAAAACTAAGCTCTCCTATTCCTCCACCATCGTTTTTGATTCAACTTGCTTATATTTTCTTTCTGCATTTTTTAATTATAAAATATACAGAGAAAAATATATGTCTGACTTAAAGAAGAATAAAATTAGCAATCATGCTTTTACCACTCAGATTAAAAAAAAAAAAAAAGTTTTTTCCAATGTCTGTAGCTCCCACAGGGCTCCCTTTCTGTTTTTTTGCTGAGTATTTAAATTTGTTCTCTGATATTCTCTCATTTAACTGTCTTTCTCTGCATTGTTTTGCAACCCTTTCACTTTGTTAACAGTATCCTAGCCAAGATACGTGACTTCTTTCCTAAAACAGTCTCATAGACCATCACACATTATGTCTTTGCTGATTTCCTTTCTTCTAAAGCTTTGTCTCTTCATTTTTCCTCTCAACTCAGACTTTAAAGATTTTTCTTTCTTGTTTTTTTGTGAGTGATCTCCTTTGATGTTTTTTGTATGTATTTTCTTTTCTTCTTGTAGACTGTGGTTAGTGGGTACCAAAATGTATTTTTGTGTCTTTTTAAAACATTCATGGATAAGTATGCTTTTTTTCTTCACCTTGGATACTGGTCTCTGGTTTATAGTCACTATTTAATATTAATAACTTATGTATAAGAACTCATAGTTTAGGTAATTAATTCTGCCAGTTGTATCATAAAAATTTTCTTCATATTTTTTACCTGAGATTATAATTTAGTATCTTCTTAAACAATGTGAGATTGGGACAAATGAGAGATCATAATTTATAGATTTGTTTATATGATAGAACATATTGTATATTTAAACATTTATTAAATATTTACTCTTGAAGAACCTGACTTACTCATTCTACACCTTCCACAGATTTAAGAAACTCTTAAACGTGACAAGGAGAAAGTTAAGTGAATATGAAGGTGGAGAGCTTACTTTCCCTGGAAATTCAAAAACCAATCAAATTGAAATGGATAGTCAGATTAATATGCTAAAACAGAAGGTAATTTTTAATTAGTTTTGGGACTCCAAAATCATTTAATTTTGGGAAATAAGTCACTCAGTGCTTTGAGCAATGAAATGTTTTCTATTAATTTTATATACGTGCTACATTTTTTTTTTTTTGGTAACAGCTTTATTGAGATAAAATGAATGTAATATGCATATTCAAAGAGTACCACAATCAATTTTAGAACATTTTTGTCACCCTGTAAAGAAGGCCTGTACCTTTTACCTCTCACCCTATGCTAGTTTCCCCTTCCCTACTCTCCTTAGCCCTAGGGAACCACTACTTACTCTCTGTGTCTGTAAATTTGCCTATTTTGGACATTTCATATCAATGGAATCACACAGTATGTGGTCCTTTGTGACTGCCTTCTTTCATTTAGCATAATATTTTCAAGATATACCTATTTTGTAGCATGTGTCAGTACTTTATTTCTTTTTATTGCTGAATAATATCCCACCATACAGACATACCACATTTTATTTATTCATTTATCAGTTGGTAGACCTTTAGATTGTTTTGCTTTTTGGCTGTGTTAATAATGCTATTGTACACACACATGTACAACTTTTTGTGTGAACATGTTTTCATTTCTCTTGGGTATATACTTACAAATGGAATTGCTGGGTCATATGGTAACTCTCTTTAACCTTTTCTTTTAACCCTTTGAGGAACTGCCACACTGTTTTCCAACATGGCTGCACCATTTTACATTTTCATCAGCAGTGTTTGAACGTTCTCATTTTTCCTGATTTTTGCAATGTTTGCCATTATCTGTTTTTATTATACCCATCCTAGTGGGTAGGAAACGGCATCTTGTGGGGTTTTTTGTTTGTTTAAAGTTTTAAAATTCTAGTTAGTTAACATATTGGTTTCAGGAGTAGACTTTAGTGATTCATCACTTACATACAACACCCAGTGCTCATCACAACAAGTACATCATTCATTTAGCCCACCCCCCATCCACCTCCACTACAGCAACACTTAGTTTTTTCTCTATAGTTAAGAGTCTTTTATGGTTTGCCTCCCTTTCTCTTCTTTTTTCCCCCTTTCCCCTGTGTTCATCTGTTTTGTTTCTTAAATTCCACATATGAGTAAAATCATAGGGTATTTGTTTTTCTCTGACTGACTTGTTTGGTGTAGCATAATACACTTGATGAGTTCCATCAATCTTGTGGCTTTGATTTGCATTTTTCTTAAAGCTAATGATGTTGAGGGGCACCTGGATGGCTCAATTAGTTAAGCGTCTGCCTTTGGCTCAGGCCATGACCCCAGGGTCCTGGGATTGAGCCCCACATCTGGCTCCCTGCTCAGCGGGTAGCCTGTTTCTCCCTCTCCCTCTGCAGCTCCCCCTGCTTGTGCTCTCTCTCTCTGTCAAAGAAACAAATAAAATGTTAGAAAAAAAAAACTAAACAAAAACTAATGATGTTGAGTATCTCATCTTTTTATGTGGTTATTACCCATTTCTATATCTTCCTTAAAGAATGAATCAATTGTTTTGACCATTTCTTTATTGGATTGTCTTTCATTATTGTAAGAGTTATTTATATATATCCTAAATACAAATCCCTTATCAGATAAAGGCTTTTCAAATATTTTCTCTTATTCAGTAGCTTGCCTTTTCACTTTCTTGATGGTGACATTTGAAGCAAAGAAGTTTTTGATTTTGATGAAATATACTTAATCTGTTTTTTCTTTTGGTGTCCTAAGAAACCATTGCCAAATCCAGTCACAAATGATATGTTTTTTTCTAAGAGTTTTGTAATTATAGCTCTTATATTTGGAGTTAATTTTGTATATATGCTATGAGGTAGAGGTCTAATTTTATTACTTTGTCCCACTACGATTTGTTAAAAAGACTATTCTTATTCCATTTAATTGACACCCTTCTTGAAAATCAATTCACCATAACGTGACAGTTTATTTTTAGATGGCCAATTCTAATACATTTATCTATATGACTATCCTTATGTCACTGCCCAATCAAATTTTATGAGAATTCTTCCCTAGTCGTCTTGTAAATTTACCACTCACTTATGTACTAATAAAAGTGTAGTAGAACTTAACTTTATTCCTGTAGAAATTTTTTGCTTCTTGAAGGAGCCTTTTACCAGCTTATCCCTTGCTGACTCCATGGTGTGATGAGAAGTCAGACTCAAAAAGAGAGAGTCCTGTTTCTTTTCTCCATTCATATCTTTTGTCTCTCACTCAGTGCCTCCCACATCCGTTTCCATCAAATCTTGGTCATAGGATCAGCTGTCTACTCGTTACTTCATTATGTTTTATTAACTTATTATAAAGCATAGATTCATCCATAAATTTCACCATCCAGGAAGGAAAAGATGAACTCTGGGCTGTCAGCTTTCCTGTTTTGAAATCTTGGTAATCCATCATCTTGTAATTCACAATTAGATACTATTTTGACTGGGTTCTTCTGTATAACACAGGTGCTGATCCTGTTCTTGGCACAGATCCTACATTCTCAGAAAATACAGTTGTCTGTATCCCTCTTCTTTTACTTTAAATAGAAAGATATGTTCTTTAATAGCTCAATAAATAATTAATGGAATAAATGTTTCATTACATTATTTCAAGAATACAGCTGTAAAATATCAGGTAGTATTTAATTGAGTTATCAGAGACAAATAGTAGATTAGCAATTTGAATGCCACAAATTTTCAAAGCCAGTTTGTATGATATGGGAAAGCATTGTGATACAACATAAAGATGAGATGGTCTTACTTACCTCCCCACATAAACAAGCTTGGAGTAAGATAAAGGAGAAATTATATTTAATTAATTATTTTTTTTACGATTTTATTTATTTATTTATTTGACAGAGAGAGACACAGCGAGAGAGGGAACACAAGCAGGGGGAGTGGGAGAGGGAGAAGCAGGCTTACCGTGGAGCAGGGAGCCTGATGTGGGCTCCATCCCAGGACCCTGGGATCATGACCTGAGCCAAAGGCAGATGCTTAATGACTGAGCCACCCAGGCGCCACCTATATTTAATTTAAATAGTGCCAATGGACAGTACATTTGGTTTGCTACTGAAAAGATTAAAAATGATTCCATAATGTTCTCTTTATTTCCTCACTGATGAAAGCAGAATGAAGATTGAATAGTAGATTGATTAAAAAATACTCAAAGCTGGCTATTTCTTTTAGAATTTCAGTTAATGGAGATCAGGTAAAAGGTCCAATTTTGGTTATTAAACTATTCCTAGTTTTTCAGCTGTTATACTTGCAATCATATTGTCTTTCTGCTTGCCAGTCTTTCTTCTCCCCTAACTTGAGAGGAAAATCTATAGAGGCATGCCTGCCTAGCTGTAATAATTTGTAATTGAAGCATATCTTAGAGAAATGTCTTGAGAGAAAGGAAGATGGTAGCAGAGTAAGAGCAGCCTAGGTTCACCTAATACCTGAAGACTGACAGAACAAACTCCACAACTAAAGAGAGGGAAGAGGACACATCGAAGAAGGTAGAAGTACAGAGATGTGGTTTAGGAGAGAACAGATCATGGCTGTTATAGAGGGGAGGGATTCATGGTCATAGAGAAGGGCAGGAGAGGAGTACATGGAAATGCACAAAGAGAACGTTTCTTCATACCCACTGGCTTAGAAGATGAGAGGGGCTGAATTTCATGAGTTCTTACAACGAGGGGGGCTTAAAGCCTGGAGTTCTAAAGGTCATCAGGCTTAGCTGGGATAGAGCCCATAGGGCACTGTGCTGCTCTTGGAGAGAAGGCAGGTAAACAACCCGGGAGCATACAGCATGGAAATAGTGATCTGAACAGTGCCTGGGGCATACAGTGGGGAGATTACTCGCTCTTCTCAGAGCATGTCCCTGGGAGGCAGTGTTCAGGGAGATACTTCTCTAGGAACAAAGGAACCAGCTGGTGCCATTTCCCTCCACTGCCCCTCAGCACCAACACAGAGCCTCCTGTGGGAAGTGGTGCAGCTCTGACACTGGCTGCCTAATATGCTTACACCAAACCTTCCCCTTATTTGCTTACACCAAACCGTTCCCACACCACCTCTCCTGACCAGATTCAGGAGGGCCTCAGTTCCAGTGGAGGTGGTGACAGCTCTCATTTCACAAGCACACCAGAGCACACCGAATTTAAAAGTTGCTACATTCCAGCCAGGTACCAAACACTGCCCACAGCAGGTGGGGAGAGCCTCTGCAGATGACTGGCCTAAAGGATCGAGCAGCCAGAACACAACAACAGAGTGCATGCAGCACACACTGCGGACACTACCCTAAGTGCCAGACCCTGGGCACTACATGACGTCTTTTTCATAAGTCCATTACTTTCAGGAGCAGGTGACATAACTGGCTTTTCTAACACAGAGAAGCTGGTAGAGACATAGACAAAATGAGAAAACAGGAATTTATCTGAAATGAAAGAACAGGATAAGGCCATGGGGCCAGAGATTTAAGTGAGGCAGATATAAATATCATGCCTGATGGAGGATTTAAAGCAGTGATGATAAGGATACTCACTGGACTTGAGAAAAGAATGGAAGACATCAGTGAGACCCTTACAACAGAGATAAAAGAATTAAAGAATCAGAGATGAAGAGTGCAATAAATGAGATTAGAAACATACCTGATGCAATGAACAGCAGGCTGGAAGAAGCAGAAGAACAAATTAATCACCTAGAAGACAAAGTAATGGAAAGCAATAAAGCTGAAGAAGGGAGAGAAAGAAGAATTATGCAAAATGAGACAAGACCTCGGGAACTCAGTGACTCCATCAAAAGTAATAACATTTGTAGTGTAGGAGTCCCAGTAGAAGAGAGAGAAAAGGCGTAAGAAAATTTATTTCAAGAAATAATAACAGAAAACTTCCCTAATCTGGGGAAAGCAACAGACATCAAGATCTAGCAGGCACAGAGTAGGAGTCCCAGTAGAAGAGAGAGAAAAGGCGTAAGAAAATTTATTTCAAGAAATAATAACAGAAAACTTCCCTAATCTGGGGAAAGCAACAGACA